AGTACTTCTACAGTATTAATAATTGATTTGAAGATGGCTAAATTTGCAACCCAGGTAGTATGGAGAAATGCAGTTTACGTTTAAAAAATAGTGTACTCTGAATGACAATATTTGAAGAAAAAAAAGACCCCCCCCCCCAAAAAAAAGTAAGAGTACTCCAATTCAGTAGTGTTTAAATTTGTGAGTTAAAATTGTGAACAAGTTGTCTGTTATACCTGCACGAGGACAAGAAATGTACAGTAGAATAGTAGAAAAAGAGCTACAAAAGATTTTGGGGTTTTTTTGGTATACGGGTTTGATACTGTGTGTCTATCTTCCAAGTTAAAAATCTGATCAACAGTGAACAACTAAAGATGTTATTCAGGACCAGGGCCTTTAATAATTTTAAGTGAAGATGTGACTTCATTCATTTTAAGAGGCTCAGTTTTAGAATTATTTCCAACAGTTTATTTGCCAATGAATTATGAAATTTGAAGCAGCAAATTTTAATCACTGAAAAAGTGAAAAATTGCCTCCTGCCTCCCCTATTTGAAAGCCCTCCAGGTCAAATTGAGAGAAAAAAAGTCTGTTTTTTACATGATTTTCACATTGTTTTTTAGTTTACCTAAGTTTAAAATTCTCTGCTCGCAGCAGTTTAGACATGATCACTGCCTTGCATAATGTCCATGCCAACTTCATGCACTTAGTTTTTCTTTTTCTTTCTTTCTTTTTTTTTTTTTGGTTGCACCTTTGAATAGTTTGCCTGCTGCAGAATTCAAAGTATTTTTGATGGTTAATATAACAGAAATTTGTTTCCAATTAACAAAGAATGTGTTTAATGCTCCCGGATCTAATTTAGTTTGTCAAAGATTTGAAGAATTTTATGGCCACTTAAGTGAAAATAACAGTTTTCTATATCATTGAAGATGATTGCTTTGTGTTATCTTTAATTCCAAATTATGAAATATTTGTGTTTTCAAAAGGGTCTGTCTTCAAAGTTATATGAGCTAGAATATTGAAAATACGCAGGCTTTGAAAGGTGTCCAAGAAAGTGTTGATATTCAAGGCATGCTTGATCATCTTAAATGTTTTTTACTTACCTAAAGATGAGTCTTAAGAATTAAAAAGTAATAAGTCATTTGATAATTCAAAAGCACATTCCATTTTACACATAATGGTTCCTTTGTACAAACTAGTTTTTCTAAAAAAAGAAAAAAGAATATGCATTATACAATATAAAAAGAACAATGTAAGAAAAATTTATGTGCCAGAAATACAATGTGTGGTAATATTAAAAGCTATTAAGGATGTACATTTATATATTTGTTTCTTTAAGAATTAAAAGGTTGAGAACTAGTGCACAAAAATTTTACGACTTCTTCTGTGAAACCAAATATTAAATGCTGCACTGCACGTCTTGACACAGATATGGAGGATTCCTGCTCTGGTTAAGAGGGTTCAGTGTATCAGGAAAAAAGCTAACTGTTGGGGGTGACACTTCTGTACAGATAAAATAAAGATCTGATTTCACAGCAGGTAAACACAGGTAAAACGGGTCTACTATGCAGACAGGTGTAGAAACGCATCGTAGAATCAAATCGTGAGTGGGGCTTACATTGTCAACAAATTACCGAATTTAGCAGGTCAATATTTAGACAAGTCATATAGATCAATATTAGCTCAGCACTTCAGCTTAGAATTTCCAAAACGTGTCCTCCATACTCTCTTGAATGTCATAGGTTCAATTAGTATTCTAGTTGTCAATTTTTTGATTTGGAACCTTGCGCTTTGAGAACTTTTTTAGAAGTGTTTTATGATAAAAGGGGCTTTTATTTTGGCAGTTTTGTTTTTTTTTTTTAGTGAATAAATTGACTTTTGGAATATAGATGCATATTTTTTCTGTGAGCTGTTGTTTCATGTGCTTGGAATGCAGAATTGAACTTCATTATGTTTGGTGAGTAAACATGAAGTACTTAGTTGATCTCTTTGACATCAAAGCTTGATAAAGCATTTTTACATTGCCAAGACAGTCATTTTGATAATATATTAAGTTATTAAAACCATGCACTATTTACATTCTTTTATTATAAGCTATAGCCATAGCAAAAAAAAAAAAAAAAAAAAAAAAAAAGATCCTTTTCTTTTATTTTATGTACTTGAAGTCTCTTTTTGCTGAAGTTTGAGGATAAGGGAGAAATCTCAAGGCTACTTGCAGCCGCCTGTGATGAAACTTTGGCACAAAACAATAAATATTCACATTCCAGGTTTTTTGTTCTGTACTTCTGTGATCAGAAAGTGATTAAGTACAACTCTGATCACCTCCTGCCTCTATAGCTTTGTGCTTCTCCATTGCTCACCTGTTTCTAACAATCACACCCAAAAGCTTTTGATCTTTTGCGGTTTTGGCATATTTAAGGATTCTTTATTTTTTGGTCAGCAGTACAAATAAATAATTGGAAGTATTGGGGTTTCATCATGTTGTGGAATTCAATTAGAGAGATTGGTCTATAGTAGAGGACAGGTGGGGGACTGATGCCAAACAGTTCTTAGTATTAGTTGTCTTATGTAAGATTTGTTGCTTGTTTATTGTTGTTCAGAGAAACTATGTTTGCTGATCAGTGATAACAATATGACAGAATAAGTGTGGGAAGTTGGCATTGATTTGGAGAGAGAGAGAGAGGCTCTTCAAGTCTTTGATAGTCAATAAAATTCAAAATGCAGAGACTTTAATATGACCTTTGGCATTTGGGGGGGGGGGGGGGGGGGCCGGGTTGGAGAGAGGCAGAAAAAATGCATTGAATTCTCAGTCTTGATCTTCAAGTACAGAGTCTTTGAGGTGCTCATTATGGGTTAGTCAGTCTCAAAGTACTCACAAACTCTTGATTGTGATGACCATCTTACCAGGGGGTCATGGTTTGTCCCAACTATAGTATTCTATAAATATCAAAACTATGATCAGACAGTTAATCATTGTGGAGACGAGCCAATCTTTTGTCCAGAAATGCTAAGGCTATTTCAATAATTATGATGGTCAGAGATGCTGGTGTATATGCTTGTTAACAAGATAGAAGACACTGCTATAATGAAATGATACATCTGTCTAGCATTCATATGAATCACTTTGGGTCAGCTGAAATTATGCTGGAAATACATATATATAGAACCCAACATAGTGCAGTGTACCAGCTTTACTGCACATAATCATGATACCTGATGACAACTCATTTTGAGTGAACCTCTGATGAGGTAACTGATGAGGTAACTTGTCCCGAGTGACCTTTGATGAGGAAACTTTTTTAAATTTCTAGAGTCTTAGGGGGTAACTGTTCTTAGTGAGTGACTTCTGATGAGGAACTTGGTCTTTGTGAAACTCTGATGTCAGTTAACTTGTTTAAATTTCTGGAGTCTTGTTCTGAGTGAAAATCTGATGAGGTAACTTGTTCTGAGTGAACCTCTGATGAGGTAACTTGTTTTAAATGACCTCTGATGAGGAAACTTGTGCTAAATGACCTTTGATGAGGTCACTTGTTCTTAGTGAACCTCTGATGAGGTAACTTGTTTTGAGTCAGCCCCTGTCAAGTTACCTCACATTAGACTAATGATGTAACTTTTCTTAAGTGGGCCAAAGAGAGGATACATAATATTTGCAATGGTTCCTTAATAATTTCTTCAAACAACCTTTTGTAGATATTTTAAAGAAGTCTTTTTTTCAAATCATAAAAAAAATCATTAAAAATAAAGCTTAGGTGTTTTTTGATATTAAGTTTAAATAATTATACATGTATATTGTGTAATTATATATATCTATGGTAGGCTGGCAGATTCAATTGCTGGTGGCCAGATAAGTCGGTAGAGCACACCTGACTAGATTTCAATGGACCCAGGTTCGAATCCTGGTCTGGTCTGTCACATTATCTCCCTCCCTGTTACTCATTGTGTCTTTCTGAGAGTGGCCTTCTAAGGGGAAGCAAGGCCAGAGAAGTTTACAGTGTATGTTCTTCAAATGCCTGCTTTATTTTTGGGCAATGAAAAACAGTTACTTTAACAGCAGTTTATAGTTTTTTCACTACCTCTCATTACACTGATTAGGGGGACAAGTGGGGAAATGTGGAAATAGTTGCCAGAGATGTAAAGATCTGAATGCTGGTCACATAAACAATGTCTGAGGATCTGTCAGGTTTTTGTGCAGTTTTACGTCAGTGGTCTTATTTACTCCTCTGCCACGTAAAATCAGATGTTACTGTAGAGTCACTGAAATAGGGGTGCAGATGAAAAATTTGTTGCGATGTTTGGCTAAGCTGTTGTAATGTTTGTATACAACATTGTCAGTAAAACAGCTGATTCTCGGTAGTGTAAACTGTTGACATTAAACAGTGATAAGCAAAAACTGCTTACTAAGAAATAATTGAAACTTAATTGATGAATTATATTTAACCTGATTTGATAATGTATTGATGCATAATTTGCTTTGATAAATGATATTTGCTTTATTTGGGATGACATATATTGTTTATGTTTCAAAAGTTTTAAATGAAAAAAGGTGGAAGATAACAAATAATGATCGATCTCATAAATCCAGATAGATAATACCTATCATGACCGGGGCAGAAGGAAATGTAAAATTGCAAATGTTGGAATTAATTTTCAAATTTTTTCCTCAAATTTATTTTAATATGTAGGGTGAACAAAGTCATGCATGCCAGGTGATATACATCTACTTATAGTATGGTTTTGAATAAAAAAAAAATTCTGGAAGGAAATTTTTTTCTCTCTTTATTTGAATTTTGAAAGTAAATATACAGTTAAAGCTCATTATCTCAAACTCAATTAGACCGAGAAAAAACTTTGAGATATTCGAGTATTCAAGATAACATTAAGGGTTTAATACTTAAAGGTTGGGACTTCCAATTCACTTTAGCATATCCATGGTATTTGAGATATTAGTGTTCGAGATACCAAAGATCATCTGTATATCAGTGAAGTTCCATTAGGTTTATATTGATGTAAATATTTGTTTGTAGGTCATTATGTCCATCAGCAGTTCCTCTAGTCAGCACAGCATGACCAGCACGCCCTCAGTTGACCTTTCGACTTACCAGGATGACCTTGAGAATGTCCTTGCCTGGCTCCTGGAGGCTGAGGAAATAGTGGAGAAACAGGAACCCATAGGAAATGACATCAAGAAGGTCAAAAGTCAATTCAACCAACATGAGGCGAGTTTTTCTTGAGTCAGTATGGTGGGTCAATCATGTAGGTCTCCATTTGTGCAGAATTTCAGGGATAAGTACCTAAAGTTCAACAACCGTCTGCTCAGCCATATAAAATTTTACTGTAACGCTAATGTTTTTCCAAACCATGCACACAATTTCGGCATTTCTTGCAGGGCAGAATTTGACAGAAATGGCCGTGCACTAACTTGATTAATTTTGTTAAGGAATAAGTCTTATCCTTGTAGGAGTTAATTAACTCTCTAGGGTCAGTGAACCTTAATTTTGATAGAGACATTTAGACAAAAATGTCTTATAAGTGAACGAAAATGTGTATTTTGTACATCTAACGAAATAGAAGACGAATATCATTTTGTTTTAATATGCAAGTTTTATGTTGAGTTAAGAGAAAAATATATTAAAAAATATTTTTACGCAAGACCTAGTATGGTAAAATTAATTGAATTACTTAATTCCGACTCAGAAAATGTACTTAAAAAACTTGGGAAATACGTGTTTGAATGTTTTAAAAAGAGGGAAAACTTTACTCTAAAGCAAGATTAATAATAGGAGATACTGCTGTATAGTTCTTCTTTCATATATGTATATTTCAAGTTATGTTATAAAGCACCTGTGTAACACCTGTTGACCAATGTTTATATTATAAAACTAATGTTATACTTCTGTGGCAATATATGTAATGTATACGCCAATAAAGATACTACTTAATATATAAAATTTCACATGTAAGCGAATTTTTTGCTGAATTACTTTGATAAATCTATTGTTGGATAAATGCTTGTTTCTTTTGGGTAACCAAGTTTTATTCTAGTTAGCTTCAAAATAATTATAAGAGATGGTTATTCTTTTTGTTTTATCAGTTGTATTGCAATTAGGATAATTTGGTGTAAATTGGAACTGATGTATCTATGTTACATTTTCGACGTAATGTAGATGGCAGTATGTGTGGAGTACGTACTATTTATGATCTATTAATAGTGCTATATGTAACTTGCTGGGCTGAACAGATGTTCAGGAGATTAAGGTTGCCCCAGATTACTGGAATTTGTTTAATATTGCATATAAAACAGTGTGTTGGTGTTGATAAGAGGAAAATTGATACCAATTAGATTTTCATTGTTCTTATCTCAGTTTTAATATTTCTCCACTTTGTAAATAACTTGTGGGTTAATAGTGTAAGGTTTTATCACAGCAATGATATAAAAGTGTTTAATAGACCTGAGAGAAAATTTATTTTGTCTATTTAGTATATAGGTTTACAGAGTTGTCCCTAAGAATTAAAATAGCAGGGGACATTTAAAAAAAGAAGGGGGGTTTGGGGGGCCTCCCCTAACAGAGGGTTGAGAGGGAACCGGAATAACCGGGGGTTTATGCCATTATAGACGGGGAAATTCCCCGGCCCCCAGCTCTTAGGGACAACCCTGTCCCATCACTATGACGTTTTAATATGATGTCATGACCCTAGCATTCTTGTTGTTGTATGTAACCTTGCTCTGTTTGTCAGAACTTATGTTCATCTTCTTGCATATAAAGTTCAACGTTTCATCATTAGGCAATCAAAATAAATTATATTGAACAGAGATGGGACTAAAAAGAGTTCAGGCAATTTAAACACCATGAAACTGAGTATACATTGATGTATAAACATGTTGTTTGTTTGATTTCATGCCAAAATAAAATGTCTGTTATGTTTTCCAGGAGTTTATGTTAGAACTGACCAAACATCAGGACAGCATTGGTAATGTGGTCAAAGAGGGCAACGACCTCATTACCGAGGGCAAGGTTGTGGCAGAGGAGGAGAATGAGATCCGGGTCCAAATGGGGCTCCTCAACAACCGGTGGGAGGAGCTCCGCCTCAAAATGATTGACAGACAGTCCAAGTAAGGAAATCACAGATAAAATAATATTATACATTGTAAAACTATCATACTCAATGCATGAAAAAGGCTACGAGACAATCCAAGTAGGGGAATCGCAGATAAGATAATTATACTATGAGAAAGAAAAACTTGTATGTGTAGGACTATGAGTCTTTTGTGGATTGATTTTTTTTTTTTTTTTTTTGCAATTGTTTAATTGTAGAGATTGTCTATAGAGCTTAAGGAGCTGTGCTGAATTCTTATAGTGTGCTTTCTAAGTTGCATATTCTAACTGTTTATGTTTGGGGTAGGAGAATTGCAGCATTTGAACATGATATTTGAAGACTACCAATAAAGTTTTGGGGATTTATCTTTGTCACATTGCCAATCAGGAAGTTCCTAAATCATTACACTTTCCACATGAAAATCAGCCCAAAAAATAACACATAACTTGTAAGAAGCTTGTCTTGAATGCCTCCATGCCTGTATACCATTTCCTGATGCATCTTGAAGAATGATATATTTTATTGTGTAGACACCCATGTTTATATATATACAAATAGAGATTACTTGCCAGTGAATCAGACAGTTTGTGTCTTATCTGTCTTCTCTGAAGAGCTTCTCTTCTTTTTGTTGAATTTTTTTTGGGTGGTAGACTGTTTATTTTTTTGTCTGCTAGTTGTAAATTCTAGCATAACTCAATCTTGCAATTGAAGACAGAGTATAAATATATATGGCAGTAGATCTTATGATTTATATAGTAGGTTTACATTAAGTGACATTTAGAATTTACAACGATGTAGAATGCATTGGTTCTTGGTCTTCAAATGCTAAGATTGGTTGAATTTCTCAGTTATTTTCTGCATACAGTTGTTTTTCCTCCAAGGCCTAACAATTACCAACACTTGTGTGTTAATTACCAATAGACATGCAATGGGCAAGGGGGAGGAAAAAAACCCTAGATGTACTGCAGTACCAGAGGGAATATACATTACTGTTAATTACTGCAGACAAGAGTTTGAGATAATTCCTTGTTAACTATGCTATTTCAGTGAACCTTGAATTAGTTATGCTTTTTTGTTGTAACCATGATGAAAAGACAGTCTTGGATTATAGTTAAGGCATTTGGAGAGAGAGAGAGAGAGAGAGAGAGAGAGAGAGAGAGTGCTAAAAAAAAACATAAAAGGTTTAATCAATCAATCAACAGAACATTTTTCTTAGTTTATCTTCCCCAAACAATATGTCACTGCACATTACAGAAATTTATTTGTTTTTTCCCCCAGAAAATGATTTATTCTTTTGAAGACAACTTATATTTCAAAATGTGCTTTATTATGCACTTAAAAGAGTCAGTACCACTCTGCATGCATGGATAACTGTTAACTGCTAATTTAATCCCAATAAAATGGGAAAAAAAATCTTTTAAAGGAAATGTGTCACAATGATAAATAAATGGAGCTTTCTCCATTCACTACATTAATACTGGAAAGGAAGATGCAGAAAAAGCACTTTGGCGACAGTTGATTGAATTGGAGGGGGATTTAATAGCTGCTGCAAGTAATTGAACTCAATTCAAGCAGTAAAAATAATTTAACAATAATTAACAGTTTGTGTAATTAAATCTGTATTATTTCTGAATTACTCAATCAGAACAGTTACAAGATGTCAACGTCTGATATATTTCACATTTCCGCAAACATTACTGAATTTAAGATGTCTGTAATAGATATGATTTTACTGGTCATATTTTTTCTTAAAACATGTACATGCAAGTACCATAAAGCAAAAAGTATGTTATCTAGACAAAATATATCTATCAACTCTCTTGGAACTTGCTTGTTTTTATCTAATACATGTAATTGTATCAGTAGCGTAAACTTTGTGTGTACTTTATTTTATTTATTTATTTATTTTACTTCTAATGGCCAGATTTACGGTACAACAGATGACCTCTATTTCATTTTAAACTTTTTTTGTCAGACTACAGAAGAAGTTAATGTCCACACAACAGAAACAGCTGGATGAGTTAGCTGTATGGCTGGAGAAGATGGAGGAGAGGATCCGCAACCAGGAACCAATCGGATCAGACTTAGATGCCATTAAACTCCAAATAGCCAATCACAAGGTCTGTTTTCAGACAGAATTTTATGTAAGCCAATAAAAAAGTTGGAAATATGCACCATTTGATTGGAGTAAAGTTTTTGTTAATTTTTAAACTTGATTACAATCCATTTCTCATTTTCAAAATAGGATTGCAACTTTATGTACATTTCGTACCGAGATATTACAGAAATGAATAAAATTTGATGTCTTGTGGAATTTTTTTGACAGAAAATTCAACAAGAGTTAGAAGTCCAACAAAAGAAAGTGGACAGCTTACAAGATATGGTAGTTGTTGTGGATGACACTAACACAGAGACAGGTAGGAGTTAATGGGAGGGTATTACTTAATAGTTGGCAGAGGCAGAGTAAAACTCTACCAAAACTAAAGTGATTTGAACCCCCTTTTGTACAGCAAAACTTGTTGAATCCGGATGTTGTGCATTCCGGCATGTTGTTCAGTCCGGCGTAATATTTTAGTCCCTTGAATTTTCTTTATAATTTATGTTTAATAAATGTTGTTCAATCCGGATCTTGTCTATTCTGTAAACCGGCCGCTATTTAAAGAACTAACTGCTCATAATTAGTACAAATTATCTCCTCTAATCCGGCCAGTTATTTTTACCTGTGCCCGCTGGTCATTAGAGAAGTCTCGCATGCGGTAATTATTGTCCCGTTAATGATCTATCCTGTATTGACAGTTTAGATTTTAACAAACGTGATTTTAAAAAATCATTAATGGCTCAAGTAAGGCGAGGAAACTAGCAAAAGAAAGAGTGATACTGATGGTTGCGTGTAGCATATCTGTAGAAAAACTTGGAGACTTATTCATGACCTCCTTTCTACTTTCGTTTTGCGTGCACAACGTGCAGTTCGAATTACTTCCCTTTGTGTCACTTGTTTACAGCGACCATAACGACAGAAGATTTTGGTCCAATATTCATTATAACATTTGAAATTAACAAATACAGTGTCTAAATATTCAAACATATAAATTTTAAAAGAAAGAAATTAATTAGGAATCTGTCCTAACAAAATAATATTAACAGCTACGATGAGGTTTTGGAGTGTGTTTAAAACATTTAACGATTTTCAAATTTAATGAAAGACCAACAGATAATATATTTCGTTACTGAATAAAAAACTTAAACAGAAATGAAATTTCTTAAGAACAAACAGAGTTCAAAACAAACGAAATAGATGATTTTTTCAAGTGAAACGTAAAAAATGACATTTGATCAAGTATTTATTTACCACTCTTTGTTTATATCTATGTAATTTTGAACTTGCTATAGCGGTTCAATTTTCTCCAATCCCGATGTTGTCTAATCCGGCCAAAAATTTTGGAACCACTGGTCGCCGGATTAGACAAGTTTTACTGTATAACCATCCCCTTCCTCCAGTAGGGAGGCTTCTGTGAAATGTAATCTAAAACATGATCAGATTTCTTGGAAAAAAAACTTCTCTTGTACATTGTGTAGTCATTTTCTTTGTTTAAACTACTGATATATAAAATTCTGAAAATTTATAATAATTCTATGTTTGACAGCCTGTGAAGCCATGGAAAGCCAACTTCAAAGATTGGGAAAGAAGTGGGCAGCCATTTGTACATGGACGGAACAGCAATGGCTAGTGCTACAGGACCTCCTTCTCAAGTGGCAGAACTTCTCCGAGGAGCAGGACAAGTTTTCTGATTGGCTGGCTGAGAAGGAGGGAGTGCTGGGCACTATGATGGAGTCTGACCTCACAGACCCTGATACTGTCATCAAACAGGTCAAAGATCTCAAGGTAAATCTTAAAGATACAATGTAGATCATCAGTCAGTTCAAAGGATTAGAGAAAGATCAACAAACAGGTCAAAGATCTCAAGGTAAATCTTAAAGATAGGTCATCAGTCAGGTCAAAGATTAGAGAAAGGTCATCAAACAGGTCAAAGATTAGAGAAAGGTCATCAAACAGGTCAAAGATCTCAAGGTAAATCTTAAAGTAAGGAAATGAGGCCAAAGATTAGAGAAAGGTCATCAAACAGGTCAAAGATTAGAGAAAGGTCATCAAACAGGTCAAAGATTAGAGAAAGGTCATCAAACAGGTCAAAGATAAGAGAAAGGTCATCAAACAGGTCAAAGATTAGAGAAAGGTCATCAAACAGGTCAAAGATCTCAAGATAAATTTCAGAATGGTTCACAAGCTTTAGATCTCAAGGTTTTGACATCAAACAGGCAATAGATCTCAAAAAACATAACTATACAGAAAGTTCAGGGGTCTTGAAAAAGGTTGAACTCTCAGGTCAAAGGTCATGAAATATGCAAATAATTGGAGGCAAATATTGAGAATTGGTCAATAAACAGAATTCCAAGTGTTCATAACACTGTAAGAAAGGACAATAAGTGAGATGGCTGATTCAGATTGCGTCATCTCAGGCTAGTGGGCGATTTGGATTTACAGACTGTGGAATCCTTTGATGGCTGGTGTGATGATGTCTTCATATCTTGTTCATGTTGATGAAGAAAAACACCTGTCGTATTATATCTGGTGATGACTTCAATTTCCTCTGCATCAAGTGCATGAAAGAATATTAAATGTTATGACGTGTAAATTCAATCAATGGAAACTGCCAAAAATTTTACTTGTACATGGAAAATTTTAAAACTGTGCACAAAAACATAATTTTCAGAAGAGAAGAAACCTTTAAAAAACAGTTTTTAGATAAGCATAAACAGAAAAGTTTACATTTAAAACTAGATTAGGTTATCTAAAGAAATTTTTATTTTTTATACTTTAGATGATTGAGAATGACATGGTAGAACAAGTCCAGAGGTTTGATGCCCTCACGGAGTGTGGCCAGCAGATCGTTCAGTACGTAGACAATGAGACAGCTGTACTCAAAATCAGCTCACAACTCGAGAGCTTCCAGGAACGCTGGGAGAGACTCGTACAACAGATGGAGACACACAGCAAAAAGGTGAGAGAATGATAAAAAATGAAAGTTCAAGGTTATATATAAATTTCAGAGGTTGTTGGCATTTCTAAAAGCATTTCACAATCTGAAAACTTGTAATACAATAGGCATTTGACCTTGTCAGTGAATATGACTTTCTGTAATTACAGATTGCAAACTCAGGTGTAGAACTAAGCAATGTTTCCATGGAAATGATGTCAGAATTCACAGAAGATGGAAAACTTAAAAATCCCCCAAACACAGCCAAAAAACGGAAGGTTGACTCCATGTTGAAGTCACAGTTTGACATGGAGTCGAAGAAACTTCTGGAATGGTTTGAGAGGACAGAGTCCACACTAGAACTGCTGACCAAAGATGAGGATGGTGCCAGTAGTTCTTCCACTGATCAGTTCACAGCTGAGGAACAACTGGTTCTTGTTCAGGTATGGGGTTTTGGCCATATAGTTGAATACTGTAGAAGTACTTTTTCCATGTAGGATTAATTTATGTATGTATGTGGTCAAAATTTTAATGTGGGAATTTGTCACATCATAATTAAAATGGATTAAGGACTAATAATTACAATCCAAGAAATTGTCTAATTTTTTTAATTTTCTACTCGTGGATTAAACAGAAATAGTGATTTCACAGAATTAAAATCCCATGGAAAAAAAGTATGTTTTACAATATTTAAAAAAATGAGAAATGTTATACTGTGAAAATTCTTTATAGTAGAAAAGGGTTATAAAATGATCAGAATATGATGTTTTTTTTCAACCCAGCTGTAACTTTACCCATCTAGTTCTATATACAACAAGAAATACCAAATTACTGTTATTCAGAATGCTAGCACTACTTACCATAAGGATATACCTTTTTGTATCCTTATTTTAATGGCTTGAGGGATAATATAATATTTCTGTCTATCTAGCTTATATGACTTAATATATATGTACTATACAAATTTTCAGGACACGGAAAATGATGTAGAACAGAGGAAGAGTGATGTACGTTCTGTGTTGTCTACAGGAAGACGAGTGATGACGGAACTCAACTTTGGTAAGTTTTCAAGAAAGGGTGATCTACACTCAATGTCTAAGCGAATTAGTGAAGGCATAACCCAACTTAAATAAGTTGTCAGTGAAGTCTTGGGACAGCATTTAAACACTAATTTCATATTTGGATAAAAACCAGAGTATGCTATTCAAAAAAAGATACTACCCTATACTCAGTTGACAGTAAAAGTACTTGGTCCTGTAATTATAATGGTCATTTAAGTAACTTTCTCACTGTTTTCTGTTCGCTTTCAGCTGGAGAATCAACAGACAGTGTAGCGGCCACTCTCACTGACATACAGAATCGCTGGGACAGTCTAGCTGTCCTGTTGTCAGAAACCGTCACTAAGGTCAACCTCAACATCCAGTCCAAAAAATTCTATGACGAACTCCACGCTCTCCAGGAACTGATGTCCAGCTACGAAAAGTGGGTCAGCTCTGCGGAGAGGATCGCTGAGGAAGCCATGGAGATTACAAAGCAGCTGGAACAGTGTAGGGTAAGCGAAATAATATTTTTCATTATCAGAGTTTGTTTTTGTTGTCCATGGTTTTGATTGATCATCCAATAGAGGGTATGTAAAAGCATTAATATATAGTCAAACCTTGTTATGTCAAAGTCATTAGGGGCCAGGAAAAAAAAAAGAGATATCGAGGAGGAAATACATAAAGGAAAAGTGGTTGGGACTTTCAACTCAACATATCCATTGGATTAGGGATATCAATGTTTGAAATACCAAAGTTTAATTAATAGATGATAGGTCCTTAAAGCAGATTTTTCTACTCCACCAATATTTTTTTTAAAAAGTGAATCAATTTATTAATACTTATATTTAATATGTGTAGGTGAAATTAAAGGCCATGAAGTCCCATGAGGACCGAATAGACAGGCTGAACTCAGAAGCAGCTTCTCTTCTAGAGACCTCAGGCACTACCTCACAAATCCAGATGGACCTCGAGGCATTCACGAAACGATGGGAAACCACCTTCAATAAAATCTGTAAGCCATAACCTCAGGTGTAGTAAATAGTGTGATCATCATTATCTTGACATATAGTGTATTTTGTGCTTCCTGTTCCCGATTTGAATGAATGACTTTAGAAATATTCGCAAAATGCGTCCTTAGAAACACACATTAGATCTTTTTGTTCATAGGAATTCCTACAATCTTTTGTTTACCATGTCCTTCCTTTGCTTAAATACCTTGATCATTCATAACTGTGCATTTGCCACAAATAATTTAAGAACTGACTATTCATTGGTTCAATTCATTCAATTGTTGATGAAATATTTCAGCCTCGTCTTACGACTGCGATTTTGAGATTCCCTCTGATGGTAGTAAACTTTCTCTCTCTTCTCACTGTATCTCTGTCTTAGGCATTTGCACATGCAAAGGACATTTATTTTTGAGGATTTTGTGCATGTGTGTGTGATCAGCTTTATGAAGGGGGATCCAACTTTTGAGTGAGGGAGGATTGACGCATGTTGACAAAAGCTAATATGCACAAGACTTAGATAGGGTTCACCTTAGGATCTGTCACCCAACACAATTTGAAATTAGGTGGCTCTTTCAGATTTTGCTAATGTATACAGTAAAAGTGCAGAAATTCTGTATTAAAAGCAACACACAAACATTATGTTTCATCCACCATTTAGTACATCATTTGTGTTCAGCGTAATTCATATGTTATTTTGTGTGTTGCCTGCATAGCAGAGGCATAAGACTGTTGGTAAAACCTTCTTGTGGCATTGTAGGTATTTTCTTGCAAGAACTTTTATTTATTCATTTTGAACAGATTTGGGCAGAAAATCAGTGCTTCCCTTCCTCTATGTTGTGTTTGTTTTTCTTGTTTAGTCCTGGTGTAAATACAGATGAATCCACACAATATTATGTTATATTGTAAATAACTTAGTTTTTAAAATTATGCTTTTTAGCCACCCGTGGAAGTAAGTTGTTGCCCTTTTGTCATTCTTTATGTTCACTTTGTGTCATATGTTCTACTGTGTCGAATGATTGTCATCCTGCAAATTATGTATGTAGCACCATTGTTCAGTTTCCTTGCATATTAATTTCTGAATGTATCACCAAATTAATGTACCCTCATACATACTCTTTTCTTAATGAATTCACTGCTCAAATTGTCATATTCATACATGGTCAAAGTGAAAGTTGCATGATGTGATTCACATTAAAAAAAGTATTTGTGTTGTGTCAGTAGAAAAAAAAAATGTTGTATCATTGTATGTTATCCTTAACATAGTGCTGCATTTTTTACATCACATTGTGTTTTTACCATGTAGTCATTAACTTTGAAATCCTCACTCTAAAATATTGTGCTTTCTTTCATGTATCCATTCTCATATGCATATAAAAACATTTACAATTTCAGTTAAATCACTCTGACTTCTGAATCATTGCTTGAATCTCCATATTCAAGGATAAACATGTCTGTAGGCTGGTCAGTTGATTATGTGAGATGTTTTCTATTACAGACAAACGCCAACAGGAACTTATGAACGCTCAAGACAAGGCACCTCCCAGATCATACCTCGAGGCGATGGAGGCCCTATTGAAGTGGATTACACACATGGAGAGCGTGCTGGCCTCCGAGAGGTTCCAGGTCACAGAGTGCGAGGTCATGGAGGAGCAGCTCAAACAGTACAGGGTAATTAAGTGTACTGGTGTAAGAGTTATGGGGTAAGGGGTGTGAGGGTCAGTGGATTTACTAAGTAAAGAACATCATATGAAAAACTCCAGTAGATTTTTAAGAGTGTTGAAAAGAAAGAGAAAAGTTACATAGTCAAACTTCCTGATCTAAGACTTGATGGAGCCTTGGAATATCAGAGGATTCAAGATATTGAGGTTGAAATACTAATGCGAGAAGAGGGGAGACTTCCAGTTGTTAGAAATAACCTAAGTTGAACTGTATATTGCATGAGAAAAAATATGTATGTTTTGACTTAGCTTGCTACATTATGAAAATAATGGCAAAAGCTTAAAAAACTTTAATGATTTAGAATAATGTAGATTTTATGTGTGAAGTACTTGTTTAACTTTCCAGATTTTACAAGAGGATCTACAGGAACATCAGGGAAGTCTGGAATACATCAACAAGACAGGAAAGGAGCTGATTGTCAAATCCGGGCCCCACGACAAAGCCCAGGCCATGGAAAAAAATCTCGAGAGTCTCAACTCCAGGTGGAGCCACGTGTCTACTGAGATCAACTCACGACTCGACAAACTCGAACGTGCCATAGGGCAAATCAAGCAGTATCAAGTAAGTGCCATGATTTTCTTCTTGGGATGAGAAATTTTAAAATGGAAAGAAAAGTTATTATGGGAGCAATCAAATTTTATGAATAAAATTTTTTCACTTTATTTCTGGTAGAAATGTCTAAATCCAAAGGTATCAATACGTTGGAGATGTATTCTTGAAAACCTGAAATTCAATGAAATTATTGCAACGTTTACAGTTTATGTTCATTTTTATTAAATGTTAATGTCATTGTCAAGGTTTTGTTCTGTTTACAGCACTTGTTTCCTTTGTTTGCATGAAATTTTTTGTATCTTTGTATTATTTAGTTTTCTAACAATAAAAAAGGCTGGCTGCTTCCAGATTTCAAGATGTATTTTGGGGACATTTTTTCCCATAACATGTACCATTGGAGTTGACATGGAGGCAGCCATGCTTACTGTAGTTTTTGTGCAACTGTAGTTATTATATCTTTTATTTAATGTTGAAGTCTTGTTTTTCTCCTTTTAATTGCATATTTGTTTTCATTTGAATTCATATTCATGATAAACCGTTTGTAAGTCTTTTATGTGTATGTTCTTTTTCATTCAGTGTCCATGCAGTTTATCAAAAATCCTGATAAAGAAAACATAATATTCAATCATTGAAAATGTCAGATGTTGTAAAAAAGACAGAAATTTTATTTCTGAAGTCCTGTGTTCCATCACTGCATCAGTTTTTGTAATCATTTCACACCACCACCAGATTGGTGCCTTAATTTGCTTTGAGTTCTTGATTTCTTGCACATAACCGTTTCTCGGTCACTTTTCATCTTCATTCATTCTCATCACTTCACTTGTCTGGTACTCAAACTAAACAACACATCACTGTCATTTCTCAGAACCAGACAATCGGTTTGAACCGGTGGATGGAGGAACTTGACGTCTTCTTGCATGCACCAGATCCGGCTACGGGGGACGTTCCCAATCTCACTGCACAAATGGCCGAGAGCAATGTAAGAACCATAACTCTGTAAGCTATGCCTATACAGTATGCAAAAGGCACACCAAACTATATACAATCTGTAAATCCCATTTTGGCACATGGATAAAACAAATTGCAAAAAAGCCAACATGACAATGAATACAACTTAACACTCGACCAATATGCATGTGTATATGTATATAATCCTGATAAGAATAATTCTGAATGAAGAAAATTAATAGACTCTGAGAATTTACAAAGTTCTCAAGCAATAATTGAGTATGAATGTATCACATTTTGTTCATGGGATACTTTGACTCCTCATGAATTGTTCACTTTGTTCACTCACAGTGTTGCTTTAAAATATCAGAAAAAAAAATAAGGTTGCAGGAACAAAATTCTGGAGATATAGTTTTTTGACTGCAGACTTTTCTTAAAATTATCCAAGAATTCTGTAAGGATTGGAGAAAAGAAATAAAAAACACATGCATCACAGAATGTAGCAAAACATAAATATACTGACAGTCTAAGTGTTTGATTTCATAAATCTTAATCATTTCTGATACACATGCACTAGGACAAAAGTTTATGAAAGGTTCTATTAATTATGAAAATCCAGTTTAGTTACATTGAATGAAATGACTTACATGTAGATACTAAATAGAAACTGTCAAAATCTTTTAACTTGGATTTGGGTAGGTTAAATTCTAACAATTGCAGTTGAAATAAAAAAATCTTTGCACCTTTAGTCACTAACTCACATGCAGGACTTGGAAAAAATTGAGTACCTATTTATAAGCAAACATATGCAAGTCTACTGTAAATTTTTTTTCCATTCAGGAGGGGCTTGTAAAATTAGCTTGGGGGATGATATGGATTGAAAATTACTCACACCTTTAAATAATTTAATTAAAGGTGGTAAATTCTTTTATTATTATTCAAGTTTGAATCTGTAAAATTTTCAGCCAGGAGGGGCATATAAAGTTATGTTTAGCATTTGTTTGTTCTGTTTAGTGAATGAAGTTCATTTACAGCATATTATCAAGGTAAAAATGCATTATGCATGAAGCATCTGATGCAGTATGCAAATGTTCATTGTTAAATTGTGAAAAAAGGTGTGCATTACCTGGTAGGTAATGTTTCATGAATGAAGTTATTTATACCGATAACATGGGACCCCCAATTAGGTAGTTATAGTCGTATCAGTTTACACCAAACTGGGATCATAAAATTGATCAATATCAAACAAGATGTTTCAATTTTGAATTGTCTTTTTCACTACACACATTGAAATTTGACTTCATAAGTAATGGAAACTGCATACATAGTTTTGCATGTTAGATACTGTGAATGGATTATTTTTAGTAATTAAGTGTTCACAGTATAAAATGAGGTAGGAGTAAATTTAGTTCATATACTGCATGTTTATGACATTACACTGATAGTTGTGGCAAATGTTAATTACTGTGTCACAATTAAAAGAGGAAGATGCCATTGTTCACCTGTAAGGAAAACCACAAAAGTTGTTATCCTATCCTAATGGAGGCATTAATGATAGAGCATGTCACCACACAGTAGTGCCCTGGTAGAAATTATCTGTTAGTGCATAAAATGCCTGAATGAATGCAATTTCCAGGTACTTCTGTAAATCAGTTTATAAATAGAAAGTGAGGCAATCATTTTATTTTGAATAAAACAGGGAGTGAAGGATGATATAACCACTCTACAGCAAAATGTAAACAACATCAAGGACTTGTGCGATCAGCTGACAGAAGATGCCGAGCCCAAGTTTACCCAGAAAATGACACAGGAAGTGACATCACTCAACGAGAAGTGGAGCAAGGTGGTGAATCTGGCGGAGGAGCAGAATACGAGACTGAAGGAGGCCCTTGAGAGGAGTCAGAAGATGAGCGAGAGGATCAGAAAGATGACAGAATGGCTGGAGCCCATTAAAGAGGACCTGTCAAACAAGGACTATGCTGTAGAGAGCTTGAATGACCTTCAGGTCAAGAGCAAAAAGTTCAAGGTCAGTTTTTTTCAGAAAGAAATTTTAACAAAATTTTTTGTTAGATTTTTTTTTTTTAAAGTCATTTTTTAAATTAGTATATGCATAGATTTAGAACATTACCTTGGTTCTGGATATATATTTAATAGCTTTAAAAATTATTCTTTTGGAAGATATTCATTTCATTTTTAGTTAATTATGTGCTTTCCAGACTTTGAGACAAGATGTGGCTGGGAGAGAAGCAGAAAATAACAAAATCAATGAAGATGCTAATGACATGCTGAACAAAGCTCCCGCAGGGAGCCTCCAGGACCTGGCCCGGGCCCTCATGAGGATGAATGCCCTGTGGACTGATGTATATAACAGGGTGGGGCATTACTCCCAGATCTTCTCCACTGCAGAAAGCCAATGGAAGGAGTTCAGTGGTGGGTTCACAGAATTAAAACCTGTATTATATGTACATTTATATAGAGGAGAACATTGTTTTGGCCTTTGTTTATATTTGTCTGTCCATAACTTCAAACTTATTACTATTGAAAAATATTAAGGACGTGGAAGGTTATGATTCATGTCAAAATATCATGCCAGTGTCAAGGTCATACTTAAAGGTCATAGGTTATGAGGAAATTTTCCACCACCATCGGTAAACAATTTTTGTTTCCAAAGAAAATTGAACTATCATATTCAATTCATATTAGCAAAATTTGCCAGATAATGCTGAGAAGTTTTTTTTTTTAATCCAATAAATCTTATTTGATTGCAGCATTTTTGGGTGAAGAAACTGAACGTTTAAATTTGCTGGAAAGAAAAATCAAACGTCCACGTCTGGCAAGCAGTGATGCAGAGGAAATTTCTGAAGACTTAGATGTAAGACTTAAAATTAGAAAATAAGTAAATAAATAAACAAAAATCAAAAATAAATAAATATTACTTACTTGGATTGTGCATAGTTTTCTTATGTGCAAATGAATTGATGCTAAAAGTGTGTATTAAAGTCTTTTTCATATATGAAGAGTTTCTTGCAGAGCATTTGCTTTCTTTTTTGTAGGACCTAGAAATCTGTCTACAAGACCACACACTGGAAAAGAAGAACAGGCTTCAGAAACTGGGACAGGACTTGATGGCTAACTCCATCATGGTGGACCACATCAAGACACAACTGGACACCTACAGTGACCGGTGGAACATTCTGGACTGCCAGGTCAGTAGATATCATATGATGGATATTGATTTAAATTTAGATTTTTCAATATTTCCATTTTGCTGTACATACATTGTACAGTCAGTGTCAGAGTGGTTCTGCTTTTTCTTTGGTACTTTGAGTATCTGTCCAAGGAATTATGTGTTTGATTTTATCCTGAGTCGTGCGATGAATGTAGGAGTTAAGTTCCTCAGTGATTCATTAGGTTATTAGGTTGTCTGTGTTCATTGTATTACTCGAGGACACTGGGATAATGCACCAGTTCACATAATGCAGTGAATGACATTGTTGTGCTAAGATATTCCCTCATACAATTTTTCAGCAAAAAATTTCAGCAGTGTTTTGTAAAGTAGGGCATTGAAAGCTTTAATTCTTCCATTTGTAGGCAAGGGAGAAGATCCACAATCTTGAGACATCCATTAGCCAGGCCCAGGATACAGAGAGGAAGATTCTGGAGATGACGAATTGGATGTCTGACATCGCAGATCTCTTACAGAAGAGGATCGACGCAGACGTCGTCGCAGGTGACGTACCAGGGGAGTACGACTCCTTAAAAGAGGAATTTAAACAAAACGAGGAAATGCTGGGGGAACTGGAGGTTTATTCTGCAGAATTAGAATCACAAGGCAACATGGAGGCCAGTGCAAGGCTCCATGAACAGATTGAGTTACTGCGGAAACATTTTGCTGATGTGTCTGTGAAATTTCGGAAGTTTCAAAGGCCAGCTGACTTTGAGCCCAAGTTTAACCGAGTGAAGCGGGAGTTAGATAGCATTGGGGATCAGATACACTTGGTGGAGGTAGGATCTGAAGATCCAGGACTTCTACAGGAAAAGTTAGACATTTGTGTGGTAAGTGGAAAGAAATCTTTATTGTTCAAAAATCACTTGGATTTCAGTCTCTTTGAAAAAAGGAATTTGAGAACTTCTGTCAGTAGCAAGAGTGTATTTTTTTTTTCTTGGTTTGGCATGCCATAAAGAAATGTCACAATATCTTGGTGATAGGGAATATGATTTATTTTAAAAAAAAAGAAAAAAAAGAGGGTCCTATTAACTTTAAGGAGTTCATTTAAAAATCCAGACCAGTGAACTAAATGAATGTCATTACAAGACCTATTATAAATCCATCTGCAAAATACTTATGTATCGAACTTCTACTACTATGATTATCATTTCTTTGATTTCCCAAAAAAAGTATTGTATCGTAAATCATTTGTAAGATCTATGAATTTCTTAAAAAAGAGAGATTGGTGCTTGAAATACATGATGATAAACAAATCAGAAATGACGGGTTTTATGGCATCTTAAGGAGTCCCCTGTCTGCTGTCCAAATAAAACAGCCATGAAGGACAATTTATATATAGACAACAGTGCAAGATATAACGGTCATTTTGACCCATTTTACCTATCTTTAGAGTAAATCCCAGTAATAATATTAGAGGGATATAAGTTAAAGGCTGGGTATGTATTCATATGTTCATTAAAAGTGTTTCTTTCTTTACTTTGAGTGAGTATCTCAAATATTCTTTGTGCAAAACTTTTACCCCGATCATTTTCAGAAGGAAAATGTGTCATGGTATATCACTCACATGGTGTGTTATTATTTTCTAGAAGTTTTACCGTACAATGAGTGAGTTGAAGTCTGAGGTAGAACATGTCATTAAGACTGGGAGACAGATTGTAGAAAAACAACAGGTGGAGTTTCCAGACAAGTTAAACAAACAGATGGATGCTCTCAAACAGCAGTACAATGATCTAGGGGGCCAGGTAATATCTCAAACAGCTGTACAATGATCTAGGGGGCCAGGTATTATCTCAAACAGTAGTACAATGATCTAGGGGGCCAGGTAATGTCTCAAACAGCAGTACAATGATCTAGGGGGCCAGGTAATATCTCAAACAGTAGTACAATATGATCTACGGAGGCAGGTCATATCTGAAAACAACACTACAGTGATCTAGGGGGCCAGATAATACATGGTCTAGGGGACCAGGTAATATCTCAAACAGTAGTATACAGTATGATCTAGGGAGGCAGGTCTCAAAACAGTAGTACTTTGATCTAGGGGGCCAGGTATTATCTCAAAACAGCACTACAGTGATCTAGGGGGCCAGGTAAAATTATATTTCAAATAGCAGTCCACTTATCTACAAGGAAAGGTACAATGTAATTCAAAGGGCAGCACAATGAAATATGGGGCATGTAAGCTTTCAGTGTATCAAATTGTGAAGAGGGGGATCTAAATTTATTTATTTGTGTATGAAGGTTTTTTATGATATCTAGCAATAAATAAAAGTGCCCCTGCCCAACGGTCTCACTGATAAATATACTAGGTAAGATTCAATATTCTGTACCATCATAGGTAATGTAGAATATTTTTTGTACTTATAGGTCACTAAAGGCAAGTCCTCACTGGAGAAAGCTTTGAAGCTGGCCAAAAAGTTGAAGAAGGAAACAACTACAGTGAAGGACTTCCTGGATTCTGTAAACAAAGACCTGGATACCAAAGAGAACACACCTGGAGTCCGGAATCTGGATACAGATCTTTCTTATGTCAAGGTATGGATCATATGGATTTTCCATGTCTAGGGGAAAGAGCCAGATTTATAAACTTAAAGAAAAGAAACACTTGAATGCTAATTTTGACAGAAAATTGATGACAAATTTGATAGAACCCTCAGAATAAAGACAACATAAGTAGATTTTGACTTTTACAGTAATGCTTCAGTCCTAGGTGATGTTTGATTTTCATCACTAACTTATTTTCAGTCTGTACAAGAGGAGATGCAGAGGAGGGTGTCTATGTTGTCCACGATGCGTGAACTTGTGAACCAGATCCAGGACCTGTCTGAGGATAAGGAACTCCCCGAGGCGGTCACTCACATAGAGGCACTCTGTGATGAGTGGGACAGTCTGGCCAAACGATTGACCGTCAAACGGGAGAGACTTTCGGTATTATTTTGGAGATAATTGTAAAAATGTAGCAGGAACAGAGATCCTTTTCAGTTTGAACAGGATGGGGATGGGGCTGTGTGTGTGTGAGTGTAAAGGCAAAGTGGGGGGGGGGCACTGTGATGACTACTGTAAAAAAAATTGAGACGACTTTTGCATTTATTCATCTTTTCTCTTTGACAAATCAAATTTTATGCTCATTTGAAAAAAATGTGTGAAATTTGAGAATGATTAAAACACCTGAGAAAAGATACATGTAGTAAGTTTTTTTTTTTTTCACAGGATGACATCAATACCCTAGAACTCCTCTTTGTGGATTTCCAGACTTCATTAATGAAGGTCAAAGAGTGGCTTGCTAAAGCTGAGAGCACACTATCAGCACACGAGCAGCTTCCTGTCTACCAGCAAATGTCCGACTACGAGAAAGAAAAAATAGGTATCCTCCAGGCAGAAATTAATGACCTGGTCGGCCAGGTGGAGGAAGTGAGAGACTCGGCTCTGAGTCTCATGAGTAGGAGCGAGCGCTACAGTGCCATGGTGGAGCCCGAGCTCACTCACCTAAATCAGCGCTGGGAAGACATCAGGCAAAGGGTAAAGGTCAGTGTGCATGTGTAATCAGACAAAGAGGTGAGAGGTCAGTGTGTATGTGTAATCCGAGTCTGGTGTGAGTGTCAAGCTTTTATATAACACTGTAATAGATTTTAGATTGCTTTTTTTTTTAGATAGAAGCTAACAAAAAAAAAATGCTTTTTAGTCAGTAGGATTTGCATGTTGGGGCATGAAATTAGCTTTGCTTTATACATAGAGTAGATTACTAGCTGTATCTTGGTAATACGTACATACATAAATAGCTGCTGTTTTATGATAAAAGTGCATGAATATTGGTGTATGCATTGCATGAACACCTATTGTACATGAAATGAAGCAGTTTTTGAACACTGATTTTCTTTTATTTCAGCATATTCAGGAGCAACAGACAAAAGATGGTAATGTTTCTATGGAAATCACCAAAACAATGGTGAAGGAGGTATCCCAGAGTCCATTGCTGTCCTCTGCTTCCCCTTCTAATGAAACAGATGACAGGGATTTCCAAGAGCAGTATGACACAGTTATGAAGGAGGTCATCGTCCTTGACAACAGCCTGGTCAACAAAGGTCAAGTGACAGCTGATGACTTGTCTGGCAGACCAGAGGAAAAAACAAGGGTAAGAAACTCTTTTTGGGAAAGGGGGGTGGGGGAACTTTGGTTCCTGATTGAAGTTTTCAAAATATGGCTGTTGTTAAGGATTTGTGTGAAAAAGAGATTTTACATCCACAGATGATCAGTGGAGAAAGAGAGAATTTAGATACATTTTGATTAATGTGATGCAAAATATTTCAGAATATTTGATCAGTCATGAATAAAAGTTAAAATACCATTTAAGTGGAATTCTTAGTGAGACGCAAATTAAGTGATTTCTCCTTTAAAAAATCCGTATTAAATTTTAGCGAGAAGTAATTTTAGCAATTTTGTGATACCTTGAAAGTTAAAAATAACCTAAAATGTGGGAATAAATTGTTAGCGATGTTTAATTTTAGCGATCTCAACACCCTCGCTAAAAATGCCATAATTGAATCCTCGCTAAAATTTATGCTTATGTGGTATACGGAATGATTTTTAGTTTGAAACTGCTGTGTTATGAAAACACCGATTTTATAACATTAACTTTCAGGTTCTGGAAGCAGAAGTGAATAAATTGCAGCTAGATGTGTCTGGTATTGCTGATCAAGGGAGACTGCTTGCCCATAAAATTGATTTGGATGATCATGACAAGGCCATCCGGATCTACCGACAAGTGGAAGATATGAAGGTCAGTAATCCAGGTGGAGAATAAAGGGAACTAACTCTTGATGGATATATTTCAGAAACTGTAAATTCTATAATTAACAGTGTAGAAAAGAAATTAAATTTTGAATTAACATACTTTATAGTTAAAGAAATAAGCAGTCTTTGTTTTCAGTAATTTTCATGTTAACATGGATCATATCTTTTTATGCTTTCGGTTGTTTGAACACTTTTGTCTGAATTATTATGTTCCTTTTTTATCCAGGTCAGCATTATAAATTAAATGACATAAAAGTATAATTTTTGTAAAATTTTATTGTTATAACATAGTTAACTGCTAATAGCACATGGAAAGTAAAATGTATTTTAAATGTCCTTCAAAATTTAATTTTCAGTCCAAGTGGAATCAAGTGAAGACAAATGCGGAGAATAAGAAGACGATTATTTTGTCTGTTGGGACGACTTACAGTCAGATACAAGGGGAGATAAGGGATCTCAATGTCTGGTTTGACAATATTGAGAGGAGGATCCACTCTGTCAGGAAGGAGGATCTAAAGGTAAAGGGGGTGGATCATAAGGGGTGGATAATAGAATTCCAGCTTTCTTGGCTTGCCTCTTTGATCATGACCAATCTCAGTGTAATTTTTTAGCATTTAACTTTTTCAGGTGTTTTTAAAGAGCATTGTAAACCAACTATAATTTACCACAAATTTTATTTGGGATTCATTAGTTTAAAATCCATCTGCTACTATTAGTTTTTGCAACCAAAGAAACCTTTCTGCATAAGTACACAAATAACTGGACTGGGGCAAGAAAGGTTAGCAAGTAAAAGAAGATTATGAAACTCACAGATATTTCATATACCGGGTACATGAATAAAAGTTGGGTTTACAATGCTTAAAATTTGACTATTAATGATAACACCATAAAGAAAAGCTACAATTTAAACGATTCTTTGGAAAAAGAATTTGGAGAGAAGAGGTGCAAATTCAGTTTTGTGATCAGTAATGTCATTCACTGATCAGACTATAAAAAATTTCAGAAAGTGACGAAAAGACCTCCAGTGTATAAGATTTAATTAGCGGGGTGTCTAATCAATCATTGTAATGAACAATGTCAAGATGCGTTACATCTGTAATTGATTCATCTTGTTATGGTATGCGTTGATAGGTTGTAGATTTCGGCTTTTTTTCATACTTTGGAAGATACTAGTATATCATGATATATATTTCACTTGAAGTCGGAAACTGGTACAGCAATCTGGAATGCCGATTTTTCAATAGAGTTTGAAAATTAGAATTACATCATTTAACTGTTTTAAAAAAAAAATTTTATGAATGAAATAGAATTTTGTACAATTTATATTTCATAAACGTTATGTTTGTTGGTTAAAACTTACATTTAATTATTTATTAACAGTATTACAATGATAATTTCTGAAAAATTATTTTTATAACTCAAGACATATTATGACACAGAAGTCCAAAATATTGATATATCATGATACTTTTTTTGCATATCTATACTCATACCTAAATAATTTTTTCTGAAATAAAAAACAATCTGTTTTGTCCATTTGTCATGCATCTATAATTTTATTACTGGCTTCTATATGTAATCTAAATCAAAACAAATAACTTACATTTGGTCATGGTAGAGTGAAGGTCAAATTCATTGCTTCAATTTAGGTCAAGGCCATGCATGCTTAAAGCTCAAGTACTGCAATGTTTCAGAAATATGTCAAGACCTTTTCCTTGTTCAAAAGTTAACTTAGCATAACCCATTTTATGGCAATATTAGTGATTATTAGTTTATTATTTTTAAGTTGTTTCCAATCTCTGATCATTTCAAGATGGAGAAGTTTTAAGGAGAAATATAATTAACAAGCATATAGACATACTTTTAGAAATCATTTTAATAAATTGATTTGAAATTAGAGTACATATACTGTAAATCACTCTAAATTCACAAGAACTTTATTTTTGAATTCGCTTCATTACATGAGACTGTCGGCTTGCGAAAATTTCATTCTCACATATTTTAGTATCATTAAAGATGATATAGAGCAAATGATGAGAATTCTTGAAAATTTTGTATCAATTATCAATACTAAATAACAATCATGTGAAAATAAGGTGTCACAAGAATTAAGTGATCTACAGTAATACAATGCAGAAAAAAAGATCAAGGAAAAAGAAATAATCACATTCGGGTAGAGGTATAAATTTTACATCAAACACCTGTATAAGTAGCTGTATCTGTAAAGCATTTATACCACCCTGTAGTTAAATTAAATACTCATCATTTGGCAAGTAAACAACAGGTAGCATCTGTTGTGTCTTAGAGAGATAGGAATTTTTGAAATGTTCTGTAATTTGCCTGTGATGCACGCATGTTGGATTTTTGCTGTGACGGGATATAAACTCTACGGGGATCTTGGTTCAAAATGTCTTCTTCCCCCTCCCCCTTTCTTGGCCATATTGTTTCAGCTCCAGGTGAATTTCGTTGAAAATGTCGGAAGACAGGTCTCGAGATCATGCTAGGTGTTAACGACCTAGAGTTAAAGGCCCGATGATGGAAGTAATCAACAGTGTTAATTAAGCATGCTCCCAGAAAATTAGCCAAGTGATGAAGATGCAGAATTTTTTACCTTAGTAAATTCTGCTAGATTTTATTTTTTAAGTTTCCTTGGTAATGAATTTGTGGTATCCATTGATTTTCCTTATATCTTAAGGAAGATGTCATATTGTCAAGGCAAATAAGTTAGTGTGTTGATCTTGTCTTAAACTGTGCTGAAAGAATTAAGTGCATTCCTTGTAAAAATAATTAAGGAACACACATCTTAGAAATTTTTGGACACAAATTCATCTGAAGCAAAAAAAGTGCATACATCTTTGAGTCATCTTAAAATATTGGACATGTTTTATTTTTCATCTGGATTAAAATTTACTTTCTGTATACATAGATAAGCGAGACAGTCATGCTTTAAAATGTGAAAAATTCTGTGGATATTCAGGTTGGTGAATTATCATCCTTTTAGTTCCCTATCTCGGGATGCAGAAATAATCGTAATTTGTTTCAAATGATTTGCCGTGCAGTCATGGATCATAATTCCTCCTTGGAAGCAGAATTTTTTTCCATGGAGATAAATTAATCAAGGATTTGTAGGAAGTGGCAGTGTGAAGCAAGCAGTTAATCTGTTGTATTAGCATCATCTTTTAATACATTAGACATTGTCTTAGTGGAAATTGTTCATTTAATGGCTACTGGATGATTTGGTAACCACAGAAACTTTTGCTGAACAATGATGACTTTGAAGGAATTAATTTCAGGATCTATATGTGTTTAACCTGTATTGAGATAATTAGACAAAAAATCAATAAGGATTTTCATTACAATGCAGAGAGTATTGAGAAAAAAATCATCTTGTGTCACAATAAAGGGGTTGTTATTATGCAGAAAAACCTGAACGGGAAAACGTGGATCAGAGGAAAAATGGAATGTGGGGAAAAACTTAAAATTATGAAATAATGTGGGGGAAAAAAGCCAACTGAAAGGTAGTTGTGAAGGATTTCTACCTCAGCAAAGAAATGTTCATTGGTAAAATGATTGTCAGCTGATTAATTCAAAACAAAATGGACACCCCAGCTGTGTTTATGGTGGTTGCCATGGTATCCATTTTATTTCTGCTCTGCTACATTGCTGCAGTGTTGACCTATGGAGTGTGGATGATGCGACAAGTAGGAGAAAGTGATTTTTCTGTAATTCTGCTTTAAGTTGTATGAAGAGTTGTTGCCCTTGATACGGACTAGTGATATATTTTGATAACTGAAAGAAGAAGAAAAGAAAACAAAATCAAAACAAAAAATTCAACAAAACAAAACCAAAAAAAAAAAAAAAAATAGAACAAACATTAGTGAATTAAATTGTAAAAAGAAAGTATTCAAGTATTTTGTATGAAAGGTTTCTGAGAAAAAAAAAATTATATTAGTGAATAAAATTACAAAGAGAAGCTATATTGAAAGGAAGCTTTTATTATTTTGATTCCAGCAAAGTATGGAGAATTGTTAACAGATGTAGTGCATTTTATCACCAAAAAAAGATATGAAAGTGAATTTAAAAGTTCAACTCTTTCTAGCTGAATCCTAGAACTTTGTATCAAATAAACACAGCTGCATAGCTCTTTTGCATTGCCCAAATCACATATTACATAATCTTATCTCATAATGCTTAAAAATGTTTCCAATTTGTGAATGTAAAGAAGAAATTGATCTTGGAGCATGCAGACAAGTTGTCTCTCACCACTTGTAGGAATTCCTTCTTTCTTTTTTAAACAACTCCTCTCTATACAGTATATAGTATATATGCTAAAGAGGGGCAAATAAATGAATTATTACTTTAGAAATTTCTTGAAAATTTTGATTCACATAAGTTGAAAAATAGATCTTTTATTCAGAGAAATACAAAATCAAGGACAGTATGTCCCTATAGAATCCATAAGTTAATCCTAGTAACATTATGTTTTCAGAATGAAAGCACTGTTAAAAATATTTGTTACCTGAATTAAGTAAAAAAATAAAAGTAAATTAATTTATGCAATCCTTTAATTTCATCTGTGTAAAGGTAATTCATTTTTTTTTCTATTTCAGGCTTTTGAAGAAGAGCTGAGCAGAAGACAAAGAAAGATAGAGTCTGTCAATGAAGAGTCCGGGCAGCTGAGTGCCCAGGGGGCAGGAAAACTGTTGGAGAAAGACATCTCACGCCTCAACCAACGATGGGAGGACATCAGTCAACAGGTCAAAGGTCGCAGGGACATCACCACCCCAGATCGACCAATGGTGTTCAAGTCCTCAGTCGTCATGACAACAACCAGTGCAGCAAGGATGTCTGGGAAATCTCCAGTAGAGTATTTGCATGACCTGCAGAAGCTTGTGGAGGACTTGTCACACATACATACGAAGCTGTTGTCACATGTACTGCATGGAAATTTGTATGACGACATCAATCAACAGGGAGAGATACTACAGGTAAAAGTTAAGACTGAATGACCTGATGATAAGAAATATGCAGTACAGTCAAGCCTGCATAATCCAGACTCCCAATAATCCGGACAGTTTACTATCCAGACAAAGTTGCTGGGGAGGAAAATTTACATTCATATCTATAAATTATAAAATTTAAAAGTACATTTCAGTAATTTGAACACTTCATTTATCTGGAAAGTTGGCTTGGGAACAAAAAACTTCTGGTTACATGGTAATTTTGGCTGACTGTATGAGTCTGCATATTTTCACCAAAAGTGAAGCTATTATATAGGCCAATGTGGTGAATGTCCTTCCCAAGCACTGATCCTGTGGAACTTTATTGGCACATACACTGCAACAGAATTTAATTCATCACATCACAAAATAAAATGGAAAAATCATTGATTCTGGTATAAATAAGTCCAAAATACAGAAAGTTTTTAAGCTGTATGGAGGGAAAATATACATAATCAATATATCTGAAAATAATTCCATCTTAGTGTAGAAAGATGTTAAAACAATAAAAAAATCATTTGGGAAATTCTGGGAAACATCAGCTTTGAAAGCTGTGCTTCATTGAAATTTTATAGATCCTTACCAATGCTCAGAAGAGTAAGATTTTGCACTCTAAGCAGAATATGTTGATCAATATAACAAGAATCTTCAAACTGATTTTTAATAGGATTGTAAAGTTATCACGATGAATTGATTGAGTGGTAAATTGTGTCAATATGCAGGAAATCCAAGGTCACCTGGAGGACTTGCATCCGCGGATGGAGGAGCTGGAACAGCAGAGACAGGGGGTCCTGCCCCGATGTTCCCCGGAGGAAGCGGGGAGGGTCCGTCTGACACTGGAACAACTACGGGCAGACTGGACTCAGATCAACAGTCAGTTCAACATGTCGCACAAGTAAGGCAATAATACTAGCTACAAATGTATAACTTTTATATGTATAAATGTATGTCTCGAGCAAGTTAGACCTTGTGTAAGTCTCGTACAAGTATGGCTTTAGGAGGACAAGCATGTCTTGCTGATTTGAAGATTTTATTAAGTGCTGTCTTTGTTTTGTGGTTCCTTTGTCTGTCCAGAACTTTAATTCTTGGCCCTGACAATTGAGCTGCATGAGAAAGTTAATTAGTATAGTTGGTTTAAAAAGAATCTCATCAAAATTAGATCTTTGGGGAATTTTCTGATTTCCATACTATGTTGTGATGATTGTGACCTAACAAAAACAAAGAGGGGATCAACTATTTGGATTAACCTAGATTGGGTTAATTATGTCCAGATCATGCATGCAGATCAAGGTCATTTTAAGAGGTCTTTTGAATAGGAGTTAACCACCATATGAATTGGGCTTTATTTGAACCATTATTATTAGATTGTCATATTTTCATTTCATTACAAAAAGTTAGAAGTGTAGGAAAGAATCATGTGTCATGTGATAATAAATTCCGAATTCATACTTTATCCCTTATTTGTTAGATTTGTAAAATTCACATGAAAGCCTAGAACCTCATGGTTGATATAATGGATGTCAAGGATAATGATTAGGTAGTGTCCTCCCTCCGAGAATAAGATGCTTTTACTGCACAGCAGGAACAAATTTTGTCGCCTGGGAAATTGTCAAGTTTAATTATTACCCATCCTAACGAGTTTATGGAACCTTTTTTGGGGGATTGCAGTATTCTCTCGCTATTAATTTCGAGGCTCTGAATGAAATTTAATAAGACTCTGTTAGATTTTTGTCAAATATAAGAAAGAGTTAATGGCCTTGTGCATTCTCCTAGGCTCGTAGAGGATATAAGTATGTAGGAAAGGGTTAGGTTTTTAGCTGTTGAAAAGTATTAGTACTGTTTCCAAAATTTGATTATCATAAAAGTATCATCTGAAGGCTATAAGGTATGCCATGGCTCATTAGGACAGCTACGAAGAGGATCTGTTATCCAAACAATATGCAGTGTTTTTAAATAAGTTTGATCTGATCATTCCTTAAAAGAAAATGTGTGTCATCCTCTTAAGACTCATTTAAATTTTAACGGGACAGATTTGACGAACTTTGAAGATAGAAATAATGGTATGTTGTATTCAGTGAAGAAATGCTAGCTTTGTAAAGTTAATCAGCCTATGATGTTCTTTGTATTGGACGCTGTTATCAGCTGATTAGACACAATCTCAGGATCTCAGTATCTGTGCAGATATTTAAACTATTTGCTGTGTAATGACCTTGTTAATTATATAAAGCCCATTAAGGCTGAAACATTTGTACATCTTATCATCTCAATAACTATTGATCTGTATGGATTTGAAAGGAATGGTTGTCTTTGAATGTTTAAAAAAAAGTATAAGGGAAAAACTCTTCAATTCTAACCATTATAGGTTGTTAGTGTTTGTAGTCAATGGGTTTTGACTGCAGGTGACCCTATGTAGTAAATGGCTTTCTATAAGGTCATTAAGGGTCACCAAGATCTGGGGGAATCCTCTTGTTCTGTAATCTGACTGGCTGTCATTAGGGGTCGTCAGGGGTCGTGACACCGTAGGGTAATCCTCTTGTTCCGGAGTTACCCTAATTTTGGTGATTGGGCAGATCTAATGATAGGTCTGTCATTTTCAATGGCTTTACTCAATGACTAGACATGGGTGGGTGGTTCCTGCCATTCAGAATGAATTATATGCCTGATTAAACTGCTTCAGATCAGTTCATACCGTAGTTCATCTGAAAAAGTTTTTATGTAGAACATTTTGTATGCACATGGATGTGTCATTCGTACATGCAACTTATTCTTAATAATGTTGATATTTTGAAAATCTGTTATACTCTCAAAATGAAACTTTTATTTGGAAATATATGAATTAAGTACATGATTCCTTGAACTCTCTGAGTCCTTGAAAATTGAAATATGAATATAAAGCATCATTTAATTGTGCACAGTATGGAATTGTGTAAAGAATAAGACATCGAGTGTGGCATTAAGCGATTTATAGAAATTTGAAGTGTGTGTGTTAAGTCTTTTAGAATGTTAAATTTGCTTTAATACAATCTTGTTCAAAGTGTCCTTCAGAAATGAAGGATATCAAGTGCTCTTAGAATGGCCACTGTGTCCGTTTGTATGGAAATTCTTTAGGAATTCTTTAAAGGGCAAAATGAAAATTTCTTTTTTAAATAGAGAAAGAAAAAAAAAACATGCAAGCATGTTTGTTTGCATCCCAAAGTACCCTTTTAGATAATTTGGCATCATATTTGTACAAGAATAACAAGTTCCTTTTAATAAGGCTCTTCACATTTTTTAGCATAATAAGATTTCAGTCAGTGTTTGATTTCTCTGTCTGACTTTCAAACAATGATGATGAATTTGTTATTCCCCTCCCCCTTTAATCTATACATGCAAGAAGTAACATAATGTCATTGGGTGAAAACGCATTTTGACTTTTCAGCCCTCAAACTTTGTGTAAAATTTCAATGTTAATGAAATGTTGTCATACCGAATGCTTGTAGAGTATGTACTATTCAAAGAAACATATATAGGTGAAAAGAAAACATAAAAGTCAGTTTACTAATATAGCTGTATAGGCAGGAACTGAGATTAGGGTATTTACGGTAAAAGTCCATGCTGACACACAATCAGAGTTATAAACTCTGTTTTCAATGATTGGATTAAACGGGAAAAAGGGAAGAAATTATTTCTTCTCATTTATAGGATTTATTTTCAATTTGTAAGAAAATTAAAATGTTGAAACACTAGTGAGGAAATTATGGCAAATTGCAAGATTCAAAATCGGACAATTACAGTGCCTTATGACCCCGAGCTGATCAAGTAAGTTAATTGGCTTAATTAGTATTGTTAGTAGAATTTTACAAGTGATTATATTTGAAGGTGGCAGAAATGGGATTGTATTCAAAAAGAAATGTAGCTATATATATAGGTCCTTTCTTACAGATGAAAGGAGTTTTTCAGTTGCTTTCTGCAAGCATTAAAAATTTGGAATTAGTTTTATGTAATTCCTTTAAAAAGAAAGAAAATGAATGCTGATCGAGAGTTTTGTTTCTTTTACAGTTCCTCAACATTTTATTTTTAAAAAAGAATGGTGGGGAAAAAGTTGGGGGGTTTTTCTGACTGATTTTTGCAATACATACATGTATTATTTTGATGGCAGCTGTATTATAAATGAATGAAATCTGACAGAAAGAATATTAATCATTTTGGTATTTTGACTTATAAGAAAAGAGCTTATTAATGGATACCTGGAATTTAGGTTGAAAATAAAAATACCTTAATATGGATTGTGTGAATGTAGGTACAAGTAATTTTGCTTGTCGCAGTGTAAATAGACAGCTGTCAAAGTTTATCTGTAAAGTACAACAGATAGGTATAGTTGTATATCTCTGACAGGTAATCTACGATAATTGACACCTTCACGTATGATGACCCTATACCTATCATGCCGTAATGAAAATATTATGCCAAGGTATAAGTAATGAATATATATGTTACATAAGGATGTATAATTATGTGGGCCTACAGTTTGTACATACACCCTTGCCATTGCATACAAGTTATGCATTTTAATATAGAAAGACCGTATCTGTCTCAAGAAGTGTTCAGGGCATTTGAAAAAGTGGAAATATAAGGAGTTGGATATGGGGGGGGGGGGGGGTAACTTAGTAGATCCACTTTTGCAGCAATTAAAATTCATCTTACTAAAAGTATTTAATTATATATCATATAATATACACATCTGAACAATGTGAACAGTTATCGATCATCATTAAGAAACATACAAGAAGACCATGATGATACTTTCATGCAAGTCAAATAGAAATCTGTAAATGTTTCCAATTTATTTCACAATATAGATTATAGGCATCTAGTCTCTTTTGCATGAAATAACAGAAATTGGCATCAAAAAGGGGTGGGGGTTATGGGGTGAATACTGTAATACAAATTTCTTGTTTCCCTGTATTAAATAAGCAAGACTGGAAATGACATGGGAATATCATATATGCATGTTATATTTCAATGTATGTTCAGTCAAGATTCTGTTTGTATCATTAAGTTCATCTTTCAAACATCCTCACAGGTTTAACTGACTTCTAATTGAGAGTGGCATTATTATGTTGGTAACATATAGCATATACATGTACATAGAATATCAGAATATATCCATTGTTTACATTTCCAGGAAATATTTATAGCATGAGGCTATTCAAAATAGCCTCTGTTTGTAAAAAGCTTTGGTATTTCCACCAAAATAGCCTCTGTTTGTAAAAAGCTTTGGTATTTCCACCGTTCACTATTGATTTACTGTGGTTTATCATTGGTGCATGTGTAGGTACTGGCCAGAGAGAATTACTGTATACATCCTGCAAGGGTTATTGAATTAAGATGCAGAATCCCACAGAAAGATAAATGATTAAACTGTCAAATGCCTTGATATTTTGTGGTGTTGATGGCAATTATACCTTTTGTGTTTGACAGCAGAATTGTAATGATGGTATTCAAAGGATTTTTATCAATTTTCCTTGGATGTATGCGAGATTAATTTAATTATTCCAGTCTTGGAAAATTCAGGTTGTTTAGTGCATTTTTTAAAAAGAAGAATGACTTCTGTTTGAAGGCGATGGACACGAGCTTCAGAGCAGTGGAAACAATTTCATGCCGATCTGAAGGAGATCACAACGTGGTTACTGGTGGCAGAGTCTGACCTGGAAATGAATGGGGACACAGCTCATAAGGTACGCAATACTTAATTATTATTTCCATTTCATTAAATTGAAATCCTTGATTATATTCAAAATATGTTATAAAACACCATCCAATAAGCACTTATGTAACTACAAAGAACAAGGTTCACTTACGGCCTTTTTTGGCTCTATGAATTTCAGAAAACATGAAACTGCTTGGTTTTAGTTAACAATGCATTAAATATCATTTAGACCTTTGGTGACTACGTATCTATCAAAAATGATGTAATTTTCTGGCTAGTCAATGCATTATGACGTCATGAAATGCATCATTTTCCTCGTATCCTGAAAAATTCTACAAAAACAGTTAATTTTTAAAGCTATTTTTCGATATTTAATATAGAGCACAACCTCTGATCTAAAATATGCAACTATTAAATGATAGAACTATTTCTGAGGAATACAAAACATTTTTATTTTTTAGATCAGAGGGTGCACTCATATTATTTCTCTTCTTTGAAAGTACTCAAATATACTTGTTTTCCTTAAAATTCAAGAACATTGCAATTCCATGAAGCCTGTTTTCCAAGACCTTATATGGCTTTAAGACAAAATTTTTAATTATAGGAAATGAAAGCACTAAGTCTCTACTTTATCTTGATGTTTAAAATGGAACATAAAGTGTTAGTCAATAAATTGGTATATCTACAGGGCCATTTTATGCATAAAGTGAACCTAGCTCTTTATACTTGCTGGTACGTTTGCATATTTGAGTGTACCAAATTTGTGATTTAGCTTAAGCTAATTTTTTTTATGGCTTCACAAGTTTTCTATGCTTGGTAATCATGGTTATTTTGCCAAGAGCTTGTGGCAACTGGACAAGAAATTATTAGAATGCATCTGAACCTTAATTTAAAAAAAAAAAAAAAAAAATTTTTTAGATGTAATATACACATTGACAATACATGCATTATAGATAAAATACTTTTGCTTGAAAAATATTTAAACCAACATTAAATTTATATGCAGTTCTGAACAATTGTTTTTTCAGGCGTTACTGATTTGTCTCTTAAAAATCAAATTTTCTTAATAGAGAGCAAGAAATATTTTGCAGTCTCGAGATATGTATACGATTTAATACAATGCATTATATATGTTTATTTTGTGCAGGAGATAAGTAATGGACTTCAAACCCACCGTGCAACCCTGAACAACATGAATGCCGCAGGAAATGACATCATCGGACAGTCCAACATGCTGGAGTCCAAAGCTATGAAGGAGAAGCTGGACTCCATCAACAAGAGATGGGAGACACTGTTTCTGGCCGTTCAGGAACAGACTGACAGGTAGGTGTCTTAAGGAGGGTCATTATCTTTCTGATCACTCATATAAAAATTTTGCTTTAACGCTTACAATTTTCTAAAAGAAAACTAATTTTTAATTAAAATGCACATAATTTCAGCATACCTAGTGAGGCAAAATATGACAGGAATGACCTGTTAACTTGATTTTATAAAGGAATAATAGTTATTTATACCAGTTAGAGTTATCTCTCTTACCAGAGGGTCAGTAAACCTTAATTCCAAAATTTATCATGTAGACTATAAATGTGTTTGAACTTTGAATCTTCTATGAGTGAATAGAAACATAATGAAACAGACTGTGTTCCTACGGGTTGGAAATCAAATTCCCAAAGCTTTTAGCTTGTGGTTTTGCTGAAAGATTTCTTAATTTTGTCATTGTCTGTTCCTTTTAATGTGATGCTGGAAAAGTGTAAACTTAAATCTAAAGCTACAGTTTGTAAGTGGTTTCTGAATGGTTAATGTCGTTTTCTAGACACCATTCTCTGTATAATGTCTTGAAATATTCAGTTGCTCCAGGATTATCCAAACACATTTCATATATTGATAAAGATTTTCAAGGCCCTCTTTTGATAGACATAATACATTTTAGCTGGCTGCATGAATATTTGCATGGTTATATTTTCATAGAAACAACATGCATTTTGGGGAAACATTTATGACTGTGTGCCAACAAATGCCCCCTAGCTTCATTGTCCTGCAACACTGATATTGATTTAGGGGTTACTAGATTGTTGTGAGTGTATATACTGGCATACAGTAGACTGTACTCTACTGCAAGCATTATTGAATTAAGATGTTGAATTCTGGTGAATGAACTTGTCTGTGGTTTATAAAGGAGCTGAGTAGCATGTCATTCAGCCAATAGAGACAAATACATGTACTATGGTATTTTTGTGGGAAATTATCTTTTTTGTTAAATTCTGTTAATTAAGTCCATGTGGATTTATGGCTTATTTCTTGCAAGAGACTCTTTGGGAGGCAGCATGTACCTTCATGATGTAGGTTTAGATGAAAGTTAACCTGGATTTTCTCTTTTTCAGGACATGGACCTCGGACTCCAAACAGTGGGAAAGGTTTCATGCAGACATGAAGCAGGTGACAACATGGCTACTTGTGGCAGAAGCTGATCTTGAGAGGAAGGGGAAAGCAGCACATGAGGTAACATGTAATTAAAGAATACAATTGGTGCTACTTGTTAGTTTATGGATGGCTTCCTGAACAATATCACATGGAGTGCTGAACCTGCATGTTCTCTGTTGAGAAGTGAATAGACATAGCCTATATCCAGGCTACGTGTATATCCAGGCTACATATGATGTAGGCTATGCCTATCCACTTCTCTAATGAGAAAATGCAGAATCTTTTCTTCATAGGTTATGCATAATGTGATACCAAGTAGGGTGAAGTGGCAATATTTTTAGCATCTGATTCATAAACCAATGCTATACTTCATAATTTAACAACTTCTGAATGTTTGAATATGTTAAAGATTATTGCACTTTATATTATTGGCATGGCTTAGGTACTGTAGATCACCATTTTCGAGACACCTCACTAGATAGTTATGAGGGAGAAAAATTCTCACAAATTTTGGTTACTATTGTATATATTAATCTTTCATAATACACATTTATTTATTTGCAAGAATGAAATTTGTGTGAGTAGATAGTTTTGCTTAATTACGGTAAATTAGGTCCTTACAATATTACAGTACAGTCAGAACAGTGGTTTTGCTTTCATGTAATTTTTGATGAGGTCTTATTTATAGTGAAAGAAAGATTCTGAGTATTCTGATTTTATTATGGACATCAGCTTCATTCTTCAGAATCTGTATACTATACTTTTGGCCTTGTTGTAGGAGTTAAGCAGTGGTATCAAGGATCACCAGAATATCCTAAACAACATGAACGCTGAAGGAAACGAAGTCATTCGACAATCTAACAAGGTGGATGCTGTGACGCTGCGACAGAAGCTCGATTCTATCAACAAGAGGTGGGACAGCCTCTGTCATGCCGTCCTCGACAAAACAGACAGGTGAGATGGTGCATAGGGCTGCTCTGTTAATGTGAAGTTCATGTATCAGTTTGCTATCAGACGCTGAAACCAAAATATTCTGCTATTCCTTATTCTGAGTTACATATTGTATCAATATAAAAAGACTGCTAAAGTAAGTATTGAATTGATGGTAACAACAACAAAAATCTGATGGAAAGTTTTTTGAAATTAATTTAAAAAATTCACGCAATGATTAAAAAAAAAAGTTACCATGCATTGATGATGACCAAGAAAGTGGTTCTTGATTCAAAATATGCATCAGACATGATGTAATTGGTTTTACATCTCTTAGATCTTTTAAACATTCTCTTAATGATGGTTTATAGCTCAGCAGATGACAGGATGAAGACGTCGGATTTCTCAGCAGAAATGGACGAGCTCTTCCTCTGGATTGATGAGACGGAGAACGTCCTGGCTAGTTACGTCACTTTGGAGGAGAAGAGCTTGGATGAGGCCTTGGAGAAAATCAAGGTCATTTAATCTCTGATAAAGGGCACAGAGGAAAATTAATTGAATTTTATAATCAGGGAAAGTGAAGATGAGAAAGATTTATAATACATTGTACTGGATGGTTGTATTTTGTCTGCTTTATGCCTGTAAATAATTAATTTCATTTTTTTTTTATGGGGATTGGTTTGGGGTGGGGAGTTGCAAAAACATAAATGCTGTTGTTAAAACACTCCCTAGATAAATAAAAATACAATTTTTGTTTTATATACTTATGATTTAAAACACAGACGGAATTCTTCAAATATGTTCCCGTAGTTGTTTAAAGATGATTTCTGTGTGAAATGAGAGAATGAATTAAATTAACCATGGTATTTGTTGTCGTACATTGCAAGAATGTTCTTTGTAAGAGGTTTTTTTTTTAATGTTTAGGACAAGGAGGATGAGGTGACAGGAAAGAAGAAGATGCTACAGCAGATAAACACAAAGGGAGAGAAACTACTAAGGGGGACAACTCTAACACCAGGGGACAAAGAAAATATACATAAAGATCTGGATAGCCTTAACAAGAGGTTTGTCAAGGTGAGTTTTTACCTTAGACCAGCTTCAGTCATGGTACTTACTGATGATACATTAATTAACAGATAAATTAGTCTGTAAAGAATACTGAATCTGTTTAGTGTTTGAGTAGAAAAAAAGAACTTTGAATAAAAGATATTGTCATGGTGATTTTGGACCAATATATACATAACAGTTTGCCCTAAAAGAATAAAGTGAAGATATTTGAAACTAGTGTTAAAAAGTTTTATTACATTGGTTTTTAAAATATCATATTTCAATAATTGCCTTTGATCAGGTGGCCAGTGATATTCCTCTCCACATCACAAGGACACAACAAAGACTACACAAGCTCCAACAGTTCCAGTCTGAGGTGTCAGAGCTCCAGCAGTGGCTCACCTCCACTCGGTCCCTCCTCGAGGCCCAGCACGCCCCCTCCTCAGCCACCTCAATGGACCAGGATGACTCCATTGTTGTAGATCCTGAGGTGTTTAGTGTTTTAAAACTGTATGCAAAAATTAATCAGTGAAATAGTGCTACTCTGCACATATATACAAAGCAGCCACAACTTTTATTGAAAAGATACATGAAAACATTGAAACTTGTCTAATCCAGATGTCATGCATTTAAAAATCTTGCCTTATACGATGTAAACTTGAAGTTCCATTTTAGTAAATTCAATTGTTTTCTTTTTCATGTTGTGTAATCCGAAATGTTGTCTATTCCGGCCAATTTATATGGAACCAGTGGTGTCTGGATTAGACAAGTTTTACTCTATATGGATAATTTAGGTGTTTGGAAGTGCTAATTATGAAATCTATGGTGCTGTAAAGTCAGACCCCTTATGGGAAGTTTAAGTGTTGAGTCTGTTAAAAGCATCTTACTTAGTCTTTGAGAATGGAATGTATAGGAAAAAGTATGATGGGAAAAGTGAACAAATTGTCAAGATATCAAAGTTCAAAATGTTGATACCGTCCTCCCTGTATCTGGAAAATTTACCTTATTACAGTCAACAAGGGCAGCTATTGAGTCTCACAGAGAAAATGTAGACAGCATCAACAGCCAGTATGGAGACTTAATGGAGGAATGTGCAGAACAGGAAGTGGTGATGCCAGACAGTATTCAGCAGCAAATCAACGAGGTCAACTCTGATTGGGAGAAATTACAAGGCCTTGTGGACAGAATTAAACCTGTGACGGACAACTTCTTGGAAGAAGTCTTAACCCAAGGTTTGTTGTGTAAAGCTTAAAAGTATGCTGTGATGTAGTACACTTGAACTTTGGTATGTTGAAGATTGATATGATGAATAGGAATGCATAAAAGTAGATCTCATTTAGTCCCCATTTTCGTATATTGAAATTGGGTCCTTGGATATCTTGAATGATCAAAATTTGATAACATATATGATACATGTATGTGTAAACTTAACTGCTTCAAAGACAGAGAGAGAAGATGCTGTTATTTTTAACAACTAACTATGTCATGATTTTTATAATCAGTGGTATAATTGACAAAAATGTTTGAAACATAGCCTGAGGGTCTCAAAGATTTAAAAATAAAAAAAAACAACATGTGTCTGATTGAAACTGCAATGAGGAAAATTTATTAAGTAAACATTATTATTGTGATAAGTTGGAGTTATACTACTGTACAGCAGGAAATTAACTCGCGGAGATAATATTCGCTATATTCGCGGAAATAAAAATTCCGCGAATTCAACATACAGTGAATAATTCTTCAAAAATTGATAAGGATAAATTGAAATATTACCAATATTTGTGATTAGATTCGGTAACTCTATTTACGTTTCCTTGTAAACATAAAAAGCAGTAATTAATATAGCAGAGATGTAGACTGTCTTCCTTACTATGAGGGTGTACGGATCAATCACTAACACGTAGTTGTTGTTTTTTAAAAGCTTAATTGATAAATAAACATCTAAAACTAACATTTAATTCTGCCACCCAGTAGAGGTGCGATGTAATTATCTATAAAACATGTATTGTTAGAATTCACCCTTGCATATCACTCAGTCTTATTATCTTTACTCAAGGCACTTACGTAGTAAAGACAACACTGTTACACATTAATTCAATTTTATTAACAGTTCAACATTTTGATTATCGGTACTGACAACTGATTTAGATTCAGAGGGATTAAAAAGACCTGCAGTAAATACTACTCAGTACTCTACTCAAAACATACCCATTCATGAACGAACACCTGCCAAAGGGCTTCTTTCTTTCTTTCTTTTTTTTTTATACATGTTTGCCATTGTTTGGGAAACGACTGGAAATCACTTAAATAAATCACTCGCGTATAGACTCATATGTATTTCAAAATTATTTAACAAAAAGAAAGAAAGGAAACAAGAGAAAGAAAGAAGAAAATTTATATGAATGCATAACAGTGTAAATCGTACAACATTTTGTCTTCCAATCGGGATTGGAACGGTGTTTCAATCTATTTAATCGGGTTCAGAATCAACACAGTATGCAAGGAAAATACTTGCAGTGCGGAAAATGTTTTTGTATAATTTTTCCTTTCCGCGAATTCTAACGACCGCGATTTGCTGCAAGTTGAACAAATCGCGATCTTTTCCGACCGCAATTTTAACCTGCTGTACAGTATATATTATAAAAGTTTCTAAATTGTTTTTTTAATCTGTTTTTCAGTCAAAGTTTCTCAGATGCAGCACACTGTTATCGTAGAATCAAGGCAGACAGCGGTGACCTCTGAGGTCAGTCAGAGTTCACTCATCCTGGACTTTGACAGGTCTGTAGCGGAGCTCCGCGATTGGCTGACCCTGCTGGAGAGAATGCTAAAGACACAGAGGGTCACAGTGGGGGATATTTCTGATATTGAACAGACCATTATGAAACAGAAGGTAATGGATTGGAGTTTTACACATATATTGACAAGTTGATGAACAACTGAACTGCATGCTTTGTCATATTGTAAACATAAGTGCCTGAGGACATGCAGACCCCCACTCCCACCCCACTCCACCCCTACCTTTCCAACTACCTAAGCAACTCTCTAGAGACTTAATGACAGTGTTTTGGGGGAGGTGGGGGTGGGATTGGAACCTGTCCTCAAGCATCTATGTCATGTAATGTAGTCTCCTCTCCTATTATTTCCATTTATTAATTTTATTCCCATGAATTGTATAAAATGAATTTGTTTGTCCACCTGAAAGAAACCATTAAATTTCCTGACCTTTATATGGTAGACAAAACATGAGTGCAGTGCAAGTATGGAATTGACCCAGCAAGATCTGAGTGCGCTCGATTTTGATGCTGTGCATGAGTTGATCAGTGATATTTATGAGCAACTTTTGATCCTAAAGGTCTGCAACTTTTTACTAATATCCCAGTAACACTTTCCTATTTCCTCAAGTCAGCTGCTAGGTGAAATTCCTGGTTTTAATCCTGGCTGGTTTCTTGCATGACTTTGGTTTCAAATGCTTGGTTGCATCAAGGGTCATAATGCTTGCATTTGTTAGTTTGAAATACGGGATCAATTAATATTTGAAACTGACAGGAGTATGAAGTGATTTTAATGTGTAACAATTTGTTGATAGAAAAAATATTTGCAAAGGGCCATAACTATAATTAGTGGTATTAATGAAAGTCTTAACTTCCTATTTAAAATATTAACTTAGGGAAATTGTGGATTAATTGATAGATCGTCACTGAAACTATTAGCTCATATTATTCATCCTAGGCTTGACCTTTGACCTACATGAGGAAGAGTTAAAGTCTAGAGAACTGGTCAAGATCAGTTCTAAATTCAGAGAGTAAATTTGCATCTATCAGCTGCATTCAGATTCTATTTCATATTTTAAGTGAAAAATCTGTTAGTCTGCACTGCATCCTAATAATTTAGAAGAGCACAGTTCTTTTTTGTGGATTTTAATTTAACTTCCCAAGTGTATATTTTGCTAGTTGTCTCAAAAATATTTCTCTCTAGTACTCTTGAATCAAGTTGAATGCTTTTCAAAGATGAGAATTTTAACTTTTTTAAAGTAAAATTTAGAATTCTAATGGCCTATCATTTCCAGGTAGCTACCCAGTCAGTATTTATCTCCATCTTATAAAAATACTTTTGAAAAATAAAGTACTTTATACTTTATGAAACAGTGGTTTTTGTCTGGACAACTCTTTGTAAGTATTTACAATTTGATTCCCAGTTAACATTTTTTCCCTTCCTCTTATCAGCAAATACATTATGAAAAGATGAACTTGATGGTTGAAATGTTTTATTCCTCAGCAAAATTTCCTTATTTTGCCATTTTGTATCAAATATATTTGATAAGTGATGCAAAGAAAAACGATGAAGTAAATATCATCTTTATGGGGAAAAAATGAATTTCTGTTAATGTGAAATTGTTTAAATTTGTTGGCCAGGGGCTCAATTTTCTTTATTTTGGGGATTTTTATTTTTTTTTCTATTTTTTTTATATTTACTTTTATTTATTTTTTGCTTACCATGTTCAAAAACAAATTATTTAAAAAAAACAGGAGAATTTTCTCTGCAATTTGATTTTATTCTTTTGGGGATGTGAGTAAGTAATTTATGGATATATCTGTAATATGAAGGTGCATGTTTAGCATGAGCATTATAAAAACTAATGTACGTAATATATATGTTGACTTTTATTTTGGCAGTTGAAGAAATTTTGCTCTGAAGATTTTAGCACATGTTTATTTTTTCAGAATTATAGTCTTTGTTCATCTCTCTATTGGAAAATATATAACAATTAGTATTATTATTTTTTTTTTTGTTTTTTTTTAAATTTGTTTGTTTGTTTGTAATTAGTTTGTTTGTTTGTTTGTTTTTTAGATTCTCTGAAAAAATGGGCTTTGGGTACTTTATTAGGAGACTTTTATGTTAAATCTTATTAAAACTCTTTAATTGTTTTGATAAACATTGAAAAAAAGTGTATACTGCATAATTAAAACTACCCCCCCCCCCCCCCCCAAAAAAAAAAAACAACAACAACACAAAAAACTGGTACTCTTAAATGAAATTTAATTCTGCTGTGAAAATTAATTAACACAGAAAATTAATAATAGAATTTTTGAGGACAGATTTTTAGCTCACCTGAGCCGAAGGCTCAAGTGAGCTTTTCTGATCAAAATTTGTCCGTTGTCTGTCATCGTCGTCGGCGTCGTTGTTGTCGTAAACTTTTCGCATTTTCATCTTCTTCTCCAGAACTACTGGGCCAATTTCAATCAAACTTGGCACAAAGTATCCTTGGGTGAAGGGGTTTCAAGTTTGTTCAAATGAAGGGCCACGCCCTCCTCCAAGGGGAGATAATTACGAAATAGCAAAAAATTAATGGCATTATTGAAAAATCTTCTTCTCAAGAACCAGTGGGCCAGGAAAGATGAAACTCATGTGGAATTATTGTCAGGTAGTGTAGATTCAAGTTTGTTCAAATCATGACCCTCGGGGATAGGGTGGGGCCACAATGGACGATCAAAGTTTTACATAGGAATATATAGGAAAAATCTTCAAAAATCTTCTTCTCAAGAACAGCAAAGCTATGATTGGTCATATTTATTTGGAAGCATCCACAGGGGGTGTAGATTCAAGTTTGTACAAATCATGACCCCCGGGGGTAGGGTGGGGCCACATTGGACGATCAAAGTTTTACATAGGTCTGGAATATATAGGAAAAATCTTCAAAAATCTTCTTCTCAAGAACAGCAAAGCTATGATTGGTCATATTTATATGGAAGCATCCTCAGGTGGTGTAGATTCAAGTTTGTTCAAATCATGACCCCCGGGGGTTGGGTGGGTCCACAATGGACGATCAAAGTTTTACATAGGAATATATAGGAAAAATCTTCAAAAATCTTCTTCTCAAGAACAGCAAAGCTATGATTGGTCATATTTATATGGAAGCATCCTCAGGTGGTGTAGATTCAAGTTTGTTCAAATCATGACCCCTGAGGATAGGGTGGGTCCACAATGGACGATCAAAGTTTTACATAGGAATATATAGGAAAAATCTTCAAAAATCTTCTTCTCAAGAACAGCAAAGCTGTGATTGGTCATATTTATATGGAAGCATCCTCAGGTGGTGTAGATTCAAGTTTGTTCAAATCATGACCCCCGGGGGTAGGGTGGGGCCAAAATGGACGATCAATTAACATACATGTAGGTGTACATAGGAAAAATCTTCAAAAATCTTCTTCTCAAGAACAGCAAAGCTATGATTGGTCATATTTATTTGGAAGCATCCTCAGGTGGTGTAGATTCAAGTTTGTTCAAATCATGACCCCCGGGGGTTGGGTGGGGCCACATTGGACGATCAAAGTTTTACATAGGGATATATAGGAAAAATCTTTAAAAATCTCAAGAACAGCAGAGCCACGGTTTGTCATATTTATACGGAAGCATCCTCATATAGTGTAGATTCAAGTTTGTTCAAATCATGACCCCCCCACCCCCCCCCCACTCCCTTTTTAGGGGTAGGTTGGGACCACTTATGCATTTAAGCTTTTCAATACTAAACTGATTTTTCCTTTTTTCCTAGCCACAGTGCTCAGGTGAGCGATGTGGCCCTTGGGCCTCTTGTTAAAGTTTGAATTATAATGCATAAAGTCTATTTGTGTGCAAAAATTTTAGTTTTTTCCTTCAAACTTGCATGGAACAACCTTTGCACAAATAGGATGTGTGTGTACGAGAGAGGGAGAGAGAGAGAGAGAGGAAATGTCCTTTTTCTCTATTGAATTTTCAATTGCGGTCTACACTTTGTCAATAAATCAAGTTTAATTATTGAGGATTAAGAGATTTTTTTTTTCTCTAACCATCGGAAAATCAATTAGCAAGTCTTAAAGGACCAATAGATTCTCAATATTTTTTCCTTACAACTGAAAAATGTTTACTGAATTAACCTAGATCTTAAAATTTTTTTCTCTTTTATGTGAAAATGAACTCTCTTTGTGTCTACACAAGATTTCAAGGCATATAGAAAAACTGGAAGAAATATTAAATACTCTATTGTTTTTCCATTCCTCTGATTCAAAGACTAAAGATTTTGCCTGTGTTTTTTGTTTGTTGTTTTTTTTTTGTTTTGTTTTGTTTTTTTTTTGTTCTTTAAATGGTTAACTTTAGGTATATCATATTTTTACATTTTACAGAATGTTCTGCAAGACATGGAGTCCAAGAGACCTCAACTAGAACAAGTTTTGAGCACTGCCAGGGATTTACAGAAACAGAACATGAGTGACACAGACAGAAAAATCCTCAAAGACAGGGGTAAGGCATATGCATAAACCAAGGGGAGGGCTCGAAAAATATACCTAGATGGGTTGGTTTTAATTGGCAATCAAGAGCCTGAGATCAGGTTGTGTGTTTACGTGTAAAGCTCTTTTGAGTGTAGTACAATTCACAATGATGGCAGGTCTCTCAGATCAATATAAGATCCACAAGAAACCATTAGGGTGTACCCTACACACAAGACATTTTAAAACTGGCATGGAAAAATTTTGGCTGAAGTTAATTTAACCAATAGAAAATTCCTCAAATTTCATTCAGATTTATATGATCATATGCTTTGACAAGTCCCTATAAATTCAATTGGGCACTTGAGAATTTCCAGCATTTTGTAACAATTAATAATTAGGTTTCCGAACTACTAAAAATTTACACCTCAAGTTTGTCACTTGTAGTATGTGTAATTGCACACTTGATCAATTTTAGCTGAGAAGTTACAGGAACATTGGGAGGAGGCATTGATACATGTCAATCAAAGAAAGAACCAATTAGATGACATGCTGCTGGAATGTCGACAGTTTGACGAGATGCACGCCGAGTTCGAGCGGTGGTTGGGACAGATTGAGGAGGACCTCCATGCTAACCCTGTCAATGCTTCAGGGTCCAATATTGACCAACAGATAGCTAAGCAGAAAGTAAGTGATGGCATTTCTTGAAAAAGAAAGTAGAAAAAGAAACAGGATGTAGATTAACAGTCAAACAGAAAGTAAAATACAAATGACAAATAAATGGGAAATAGAGCTTAACAGATAAATATACAATGATAAACAAGATGTGTATTTTTGATGAATTTATATATTAACATATCTAACTTTAAAGGAAATATCTTTTTTTTATACATTGTGAATAAAAAGTTACACATAACAAAAGAGCTTCATGAATTTCATGGTTGTGAAATGAATTTTAAAAAAGCTAGCATATCATTGGTATAGTGCAGATGTGTAGCAAGTAGAAATTTGATTTATGAGAAAAAATAGGATCTAGAGCAACTCAGTATTATTAACCCACCACATCACCTACAGCAATTACAGTCTGAGGTGGATGAGAGACAGAGAATCATTGACAACCTGAAGAAGCTGGCCAGTAAACTGATAGACGACTACTGTACAGATGACACGAGTCGTGTCAAGCTACAGCTGGAGAAAGCCATGAACCGCTGGTCCACACTTCTACATAGGTCAGTATGAACCACTAGTAAATTCTCATAAATAGGTCAGTATGAACCAATGGTCAATTCTTCTAAATGGGTCAGTATGAACCACTTGTCAACTCTCATAAATAGGTAAGTATGAACCACTGGTCAATTCTTCTAAATAGGTCAATATGAACCACTTGTCAACTCTCATAAATAGGTCAGTATGAACCACTGGTCAATTCTTCTAAATAGGTCAGTATGAACCACTTGTCAACTCTCATAAATAGGTCAGTATGAACCACTGGTCAATTTCCTCTAAATAGGTCAGTATGAACCACTTGTCAACTCTCATAAATAGGTCAGTATGAACCACTGGTCAATTCTTCTAAATAGGTCAGTAATGGTAGGCACCTGAACTAAGGTCTAGTTTATTAACTATGAAGAAGTCAAACATATCCATACACATGAGATTTCAAAACATAAAATTGACCTTTTAGTCTATCCATACACCAGCCTTTTGTCTCTATCCACACAGCAGACCATTGTCTCTATCCACACAGCAGACCATTGTCTCTATTCACACAGTAGACCATTGTCTCTATCCACACAGCAGACCATTGTCTCTATCCACACAGCAGACCATTGTCTCTATCCACACAGCAGACCATTGTCTCTATCCACACAGTAGACCATTGTCTCTGTCATCAAACTAGATGATTGTCTCTATCCAACACTACACCATTGTCTCTATCCAGCTAGATGATTGTCTCTATCCACACACTAGAACATTTTCTCTATCCACACTAGACCATTGTATCTATCCACACACTAGAGCATTGTCACTTTCAATACTAGACCACACCCTAGATAGATGTCTGTATCCACACCATAGACCACTGTCTCTATTCACAAATAACCATTGTTAATATCCACACAGTAGACCATTGTCTCTATCCACAAGACCATTGTCAATATCCACATAGTAGACCATTGTCTCTATCCACACACATGATCATTATCTCCATTATCCCTATCCATTCCATAGACCATTGTTTCTACCCATACACAAGACTAATATGTCTATCCACATAGACTAATTTGTATCTTTGTATTTGTCTTAGTTTTCTGTTTGTATCAATTTGCAACATATTGCTCTCTGTAACTTAATGTAAACATTTATAGAATTGTAAGGCTAGTTTTGCTCCTGAATTAAGTTTAGTGGGATATTCTGTAAGATGAATAAATCCCACAGGGAAAACCTCCAGTAAATGCTGAAGCTCTGTAATTTAGGCTCCCTAAAATAGTATTGATCTGTATTATTTTCGACTTTTTCTTCATGATAAATTATATAAAGCACATATTGCACATCAAATTTGCTTACTGTTGCAGATTGTTATATTGTTTTTGCTCTTACTAGGAAGTATTCAGTCTCTTGATTTTCGCAGAGAAAGATTTATTAATGCTTTGATATATTACATATAATTGGATAGCTTCATCTTTATTGGCAGTAACAGACAAAAATATATACAAGACAAAGTTCAGAATGACCTGACTTTTAAATGAGAATGCATCATTGATGGTAATATAGTTACTAAATATATCCAAGTAATTTATTGTGTGACATCAATACGTTATATAAGAATACAGAATTACAATTCAACAACTAATCCCTGAATTCAGGCAATTTGTTCCATTAATTCTCGGCATTTACATCAATGACCATAGGCATTCATACAGAAGATTTACAAAGGCCATGAATAATAATTAAAAGAAATGGATAGAGTTCTCTGTTCGTTAACAGGCTCGCTTTCAACATCAAGTCCCTCCAGAACAACAAGAATTCTATCGCCCAGCTGGATAGCACCCTAGAAAGCTTCACTAAGTGGATGTCAGAGATGGACAAAAGCTTGACCAGGCTGGTGGATGAGACCGGACGAGGTGACGTCCGGCAAAATGAAGAGCTGTGCTCAGAATACCTGGTACAGTTTAAGGTAGGCCAAAAAAACCAAGTGACCTTGTAATCTTCTTACAAAAATGTCACTTTTGTAATATTTAACATAAATTTATGCATGTGTGAGTTGCTAGAATGACTGCTTTTAGTATACAAATCTGTAGATTAGGTATGTTTCGTATGCCTTTTTTATGGAAAAAAGGGTATGTTTTGTAAGATGTTGAAAAGAAACGTTCTGATTTTCCCTTAATTATGAAACAAGTTCCACAATGTGTTAATCCCTGTTGATGGCATGGGTGTACAATGTAGGCATAGTTGGGTCTTTAGTTATGTAAAGAAAAGAACTCACATGTACCAGCAAGACAGCAAATGCACTTACCACTGTGCTCCTGGAACCGATGAATATAGTCCTGATTTCTAGCAATGATGTTTTCTTTTTCTCAAACCAATGTATGTAAGAATTTCATTTTCGAGTGCAAAGGTCGAAGTAGAAGTAATAGGTGAAGGGTCAGTGTAATATTGATGAGGGACCCTTGAGTGCAAAGGTCGTAGTAGAAGTAATAGGTGAAGGGTCAATGTAATACAGAGGCCTGTTCAGCAGAGCGAACGTCCGCGAGCGCTCGTGAACATTTCTGTTGGAGGGATAAGGAATTTTGGCGAGCGCTCGCGAACGTTAGCGCTGTTGAACAGGCCTCTGATGATGGGGGACCCTTGAGTGCAAAGGTCATAGTAGAAGTAATAGGTGAAGGGTCAATGTAATACAGGTAAACTTCGTTATCTCGACATCGACGGGACCATCGGAAAATGTCGAGATATCCGAGGTGTCGAGATATCCGAGTTGAGACTTGATGTCCAAGATTTCATTGCATAGCAAAACAGACAAGCTTATTATATGTACATGACTTTAATATAGACTGTAGCTCAACATATTTCAGAATTCCCTCTATTTTTATTAAAAATCTAAGATATTTTAAAAATCTTGTTTTTAAAACGTGTTCTTTATCGAAATCTTTCTAAATTCACAAAGTTTCAGCACAAAGTTACAGCATTGAGCTGCATTCGCGTGTAACTTGCCTTTTCGTCAGAACTGGATACGAAATGCGCTCTATAAACTTCGAACCGTATAAAGTCGACATCCGATATACGTTAAAAAAATAATCAATGCGGATTATATTTTCTTATTTCATTCAGGAAAAATGTACATTAAAATTAATTTTTTAAAGAGATTTGTGTATCTAAACTAACGTAGTGATGTTACAGATGCACGAATTACGACTGATTCGGTCAATTGTGTCGTTAATTGGATTGTTTCCTGTTCAATACATTTTAACTACAAAATATCATTAACACATTTTTTTTTTAATTCCTTAGTTTGAATTTTTCAGTGTGTTTGTTATTCATTGGAATTTAGTTATCCTTTTCAAATTTAAAAGTTATGTTACATTTCGATATAAATAACATTCTGTACATTTAACCAGAATCGTGTAGATATAGCAATGATATTACCCAAGCTCAATTAACTTCTCAAAGACGCCGAAGGGGCTTGGGATTCACCTACAAACACAGTCTATAAAATTAATTAAGCAGCGTGCAGTCAAAACATGGGTGTGAAAGGTGTGAAACTTTAGCGACGTCGAGATACCCGGAGTCGTCCGTGCGTGACGAGCGACCCTATCTGACAAACAGTTAGGTTCAGTAGAGCAGAAAATTGCCAATTTCGACATATGCCAGGTAAATTTTGCTCTTGGGACTGTGAATATACGTCGAGATAACCCGGGTTGTCGACATTACCGAGGTCGACATATCAGAGTTTTTGCAAATCATTTATACAGTAAATACTGCCGGGACCGCGGAAGGATGTCAACATATCCCAGGTTGTCGACATACCCGATGTCGAGATACCGAAGTTAACCTGTATTGATGATGGGGACCCTGTCTTTCAACTATCCTGATTTAGATTTTATTTTGTTTTCCAATACAAAGCATGAATGCAACTGTATTGTAAAATCTGCTTCATTAAGTTGTGAAAATGGCTACAAAATTAATTTTAGGGACTACTTGATTGTGAGTCATGTTCTCACTTATAAATACTTTGTAAATTAAGGTATTCTTCTTGTGAAGTGATTATCCTACATTCCACATCTATTTCTATGAAAATTCTGTCTCGCATTTCTTTGGCTGGAATAAAGACAATATTAATTACTTCACCCCACAGTTTGAAATTGTTTTTCGTATAAAACCGATCGGCTTTCTCTTCTCCGATGAGATATTTCAGCAATTAGGAAGTGATTGGATATTGTAATTTTTTTCCAGCAATTTGTGAAAATGCATTGTAATAGGAATAATTCCAGGCCTCCATTGATTTAGATTCCTGTCTCACCCTGAGGGGAGAGCGAAAAAAAAAGAACTTTTTTTTATGTAAACTTGGCAGGAGAATTAAGGGAGCATGCCCCCAACCAATTGGGCTTTTGAGTTCCTGCCTTGAAGTAAATAACATTGTCTCAGCTGTTGATGAATGAGCTTGTCAACCCCGGGTTTGATTTAGAATGCGAGGTCAATTAAGTTCACTGGTGAGTCTTAGGCTACAGGATGTTTTAAAGAGGTGATGCAAAACCGTTCAAATGACTTGCATTTTTATTCATGTAAAATACAAAATTGTTGGAAAAATGGTGAACAAAATTTATGGAAGTGTTTCAACGTCCACCCCAGTGTTTCATAAGATATAGACTGATAATTCATTTGCTTCTCTTTGAAAAGTTAATGGTATTTTGATGAGTGATGCAGTTTCTATAGAATTCTTCCAATTAACATTTAAGTCCATAAAAAATTCTATTACAGGAATTTATGATTGGGGATCTTGTCACGAGTTTGTTGTGAGTTTGTAATTAACAGTAATGGTTGTTGTATCATTAACTTGTGGGGTGCGCTATCTCAAAGTCTATCTATCAATACTGCATTATATAACTATACACAGAACGAGGAGAAGTCTTTTGAATCCCAGTTGGATGGGTATCCATTCCTTTTGTCCCCGTCTTGGTGTCTTTTTCATGTGAGCTTAAACCATATTGGGGTTGTTTTTTGTAGTATGAAAAAAGATATGAGCCATATTTTAGCCAGGAGTTCAGTTAAATTGAGTGTTAATTATTGGATCAATGCAGCAGCTTATAGTTGGAGACTTTCAGGAAACCGTAATTGACAGTTGCGGACATGTGACCCAAAAGCCATTGGATACATTAAATCCTATTTCCTTAAACATATGGTCGTTTTGTTTAGAAGTTTGAATAGTTTGTTGGAATTTTTACCTGTTTGAACGCCGAATTGGACAAAGTGTAATTTTTCGCATGTGTTTCTTGTCAAATGAATATACATGTAGTTGTGGTATATGTGATCTTCAAAAATTTTATATACTAGCATTTCAAGGAAAAATAAGATAACTTCTGTGGACAACTCTATATACAGTTCTTTGTTATATATTCCAAGTTGGCAATGGATTTTTTCTGAAAGTTGATAATAATTGCTAATTTACATGGGGGAAAAAAATCTGTAGTTTAAATGAACAATGAAGAAACTGTGTATTAACAGTTTCTTACTATGACCAAGCAATTGCTCTGTTTCATTTGATCAATGTGATTAACTTCAAAGGTGTAATTTATTGGAAGATTTTCTTCATCTGAATTCATGAAACTTAATTCTACCAGATGTTGTTAGAAATATTCAAAGAGAAAAATGTACTAGGAAGACATATTTTTATTCTGTATATATTGGAGCATTATTTTCTTGGAGAAAAAGGAATTTTTTTCCCCTAAAATTATTGGAGGACACAGACTGCACAATTACATGTCTGTTCTAATTCATGAAGATTTGATTTTGTGAAAAATCTGGATGCAAACAAGTTGACCAACATCAATGGTTATATTTTGTTAATGGTTCATTTTCTTCTTTGGATATCCTATCTAATCAATCAAAATGGTTTTGTTTTATTAAACCAAGCCCTACCTTGCATTAATATCCGCTATGAAAGTGTTATATTACCAACATTCATGGCTTCGTTAATTCAGGTGTTTCTATAAACCCATTTTGGCTATAGCTCAAGTATATACCTTTTGTTGGAAATTTATTAAGATGCTTTGAATTTGGAAAAAAAAATCATATTCAATATTATAATTTATATACTTTACAAAGCTTCTAGACTCCAAGCCATATTGATGATTTGTTGGAGGAAGAATAGATTTAAACTGAGGATATGTAAACCATCTGCACATTTATTTTGAAAATTAAAAAAATGAAATATATTATTGACTGTTAAGTCTATAGATATTCTACATTTGGTATCATGGTATGCAGTCCTTTAAAATTTCCAGATTGACTTAAGAGAAGTGTCAAAATATGGATTCTGAAAAGAAATTTCAAGAAGCAGTGAACATAAACATGTAATGTGCTTAATGTGTGTAAGATTTTGTTATGTCCAAATCACTTAGCTGACTAGTACTTTTCTCAAAACAAGTATGGCATGGACAGAAAGTGCTAATTGATCTGTGACATTATGTTTAAAGGTTTACGTAAGTAGGTATTACCAAGTTTTTATCTACTTTTTCCTTGATTGGCACACCTGGTCAGAAAAACAAGGAAAAAAATTTATTTGATAACCGTCCAGCGAAAGTGGGAATTAAGCAGATATTAGGACTTATCCAATAATTATGTCGTTGGGAAGTTAATGTGCTTATATAGGCGCTGCATGGCCATAGGAAGAAGATAACAATTTTAAAGTTCAATGGAGTCTGTTAATGTATTAACGTGTGAAGGACATGGGGAGATTGAAATGCTGGAGCGACCAGGATAATGGACCGTAGACTGCTAGAAGATATCTACCAACTGGAAGTTAAGCTTTGCCAGGTAACAATTATCAGACATCCCTGTAAAAAAAAAAACAGGAAATTTTTGCCACATATATTGTATTATTAAAAATATGTAATTTATGTAAGAGTTGATATCACTCCATAAATAGGGTAACTAGCAACTTGTGGAATTTTAATGTTACGA